CCCCCGCCACATATCCGCCATAGACAAAAGGTTGAGTATATCTGCGTGGAATACCTGGAACCGTCAGAGTGAGGATGCATCCGACCTACCAGCAATCGCTGCAGAGAGTTGATATCATAACATGCGTACCTTGTCGAATACCATTCGGGCCGCATAAGATTCTTGAACATCCTGGAGTGGCGTGCGTAAGGCTTCACGTACAGCCTTGAATGCCACCGCTTCCCTGCGAAGGGTAGCAATCTGCTGGGCTAATACCGCCAGTCAGTACGAATCCGAATGCAAAAGCATAAGTATTATAGGGCGGAAACGATCCCGTACCGTTTTCACCCTGTTTTTCGGCTTCATCCAGCTCACCTCCGGCGTCTTCATCTTCACCAAACAATTGACTGGAAGACATCGCCACCGTTACACAAATTTAAATGTCAGAAAACCTAGAGAATAATTGTCATATGAGGACTCACGACATCAAATAGCTCTTTGCCCAGACTATACAGTGTATCGGCTGCGAAGGTGTCGAGCGAATGGTACAAACAGGGAATGTCTTTTGCGTGGGTTTTGGAACACAGTCAAAGCATTCTGTCCGATCCTTCAGAATAGGCTGAACCTGGCCCAGATATCCTGCTGTTCCAGACTCCACCAGAGGAACATTGGCGGCCATGCACATTCTGTTGACGTGCCGGCGCGCATCTGAGAATCAGTCAGAAAACACAATCATCATGCAAATACCATACATGTGCACACACCAAGGTTATCCAAGGCATTGAGTACGATGTCAAACCCTCGGAACCATGCGATATCGAACTGAGGTTCCTTTATGTTGCCATGTATAGGGTTGACGTGAACGTTAGGATTAAATGCGGACGCTGTTCGAGCCGCAACCTACATAAACGATGATGAATGAATGCACAAAAGATATGGATCCATTCACGTCAACGAAGGGTCTGAGCCAATGTAAACAGAACTGTGTTCGACTCTCATATTTCCGCGTCGCAAGAGACCGAAACATACTCATGTGATACGTAGACACTGCGTTACGAAGCCTCGTGATCTTTGAGGAGACGAGAGGGACAGCGGCGACAGTGCGGGCGAAGCACGCACCATAGCTTTGCTCTGCTTTACATCCTTCTTCTTGAACAAAAACTGGCGGTTCAAATTGGACAAATCAATGGTGTCCAGGTCGAGTAAAGTAATATGTCCGAAGCCCGCTAGAACGATGTTCTTCACTGTGATCGACAAGGGGAATTCGGCCAATTTGAGTCATGAACGGCAGATAAGTCGATAGTTGCACGCCGACGAGACAGTTCATGTGATCTATAAGTGAAATGCTGATCGTAACCTAAGGGGTTCACTTACACAGCTCGCACCCAATTCCTCCCGCGCCTACTAATAAGACCTTTGTCTGGGGAAGACGAGCGAAGAGCTCCGGTCCTAGTATAGCTTTTGCGTGAGCAGTGCGCCCATTCGGATTACCGTTCGCAGTTGGCATCTCGTAGATATAGAAACGAGAGGCGAAGGAACGAATGGTACAGAAGCACTACGAGTCGATGCTCAAATCGCTACTAGTCGCGACTTGGTCGCGACCGCCCTTTCTATCGCGTGACACAGTTCGCGCCCATAATGTGACGTCACGCGTTTAAGCTCTTTGTCACGATATGTCACACTCGCAACTTGGAGTCTTCCTCCATGGCTGGCTGATCGAAGGCACTTCGTCACCTCCCTCAGGCTCTGCTTCTTACCAACCACGGAGCCCGCCCCTTGTGTATTGTCCCCTGAACGCACTCATATCATTCCTAGATGCGTTCGTGGCTGAGGTTGTCAGACCATCGCAGTTCTGATATAGACTAATTTCTAGATGTATGCTGCGGTCTAGGGAATAGCGAACATATAGTGACTGGGCCGTATCCAAAACGTGTAATATACACTCTTGATATAAATACACACAATCATTGTCATAATAATACCCATCAAAGTGCTCATCAGGGTTGGGATTACCGGGATAGAAGCTGGAATAGCAAATAAAAGCGCGATAGCAGTCAATCGTACGAACAAAGCAGAATAGATCAAATACTCTAGGGGGTGTATGAGTGAAGTTCACAAGTGGACGAGGACGTAGAAACTTGCCGCTATGTAACAAGGCGCTTGAGATGATATATTCCTTCCCGCGCAGCAGCGACAGTATCATGAAGAATACGCTCCGGAGGCGTCTCAGAACGTGGTCGTAGTCGCCAACGCAGTAGAACACTACTTAAAGTGGCCTGGATTTCCTCCAGTGACTTCAATGTATCCTGCGCTGTAGGGCGTCGGCCTGGTACTGATTGCTTCATTGCACCTACAAGCGACTGTAGGAAGTCCAAACCATGATATTTCTACAGTGAACGTAAGTATATATGTGTAAGGTGGAAAGACCGCGGTTACCTGTATAAATTCTTTGTCGTACACATTCCCTAGAACAAAGATGTCTACCTTGTATGCATCATATGGTACATCAGAGGACAGTTCGGGGACGTCTTGATCTCTGCCGTTCTTTCCAAGCACCAGAGGCGAAGAATTTTCGGAAAATCGCGTCGATATGCCGAAGTCAATAAAGTAGTAGCGAACGGGATGATCAATCCGCGATAAGGGGACAAGTTCAACAACGCCATCCAAGGAGCAGTGATCCCGAATAGGATGATGGCCTTGAGGATACAGAGAGCGACCATCCATCATAATATTTGCGGATGCACAATCTCTAGCTAGTGTTAGATGGTTTATTCGTGGGTCTTCCCTAGCACATACCGATGAGCCACTCCGCACTGGTGGAGAAATTGGAGACCCTGATAAATTTGTAAGAGGAGGAGACAAGATTGGAAATGAAAATGCTACTTGTAATGTTTGAAATACAAAGTCGAGTACTTCTCCAACAACACCAAATTCTGGGTCATCAAATGGCCGCAAATATGGAGTGACCATTAGCATTTTGCTGCTTCCAAGCGGATCGGGCAGCAAATCTATTAGTGGAGCACAGTGGTTTGAGGGGTGATTAATCAAATCGGGCGAAGAGAGAAACTTGGCGATAGCAATCTCATCCGTGTCGCCTCTGGTGGTCTTGATAGCAACGAGCATTCCATCCCGACACCGTATAGCGTCGATGACGTTATAGTTCTTTGTCATAACCAGACGTTCTGATCAATCCCTTGCCTGTGTAGAACAGAATCAGAAGACGCACATTGAGCATGATGGAATCCTCGCAAAATATGGGATCCACATTCTTGCCTATCCAAGACGGAGTCCAATCTGTATAATAACGTTTCCTCAAAGTGTAACCTGTTCTCTCAAGGAACGGCTGGCGATCTTTCCACAGCTTTTCCGCCGGGCTGAGGCCATAGAATCCTTTGCGCGTGTCCTCGGCATAGAGTTGAGCCTTTTCTGGAGAAATATAGGCGTACGCAGGTAGATGGCTTGATCTATCCATAGGTTTGATACTTAGAGCTCAGGGTGTGCTGTGCATAGTGAGTAGTTCGACGTCAGCTTAAGTTGTTGAACGTTCGAGTTGAATTATGAACATGAAATTGCCCGCGCGCATCTGAAATTTAAAAATCTTTTTTTACCTTGATACGTATGTTAGTTCCTATTTTAGTAAACGTATAGGTTACTCTTGCGCTCCTTCAAGTTCTCAAGCTCTCAAGTCCGCGATTGGCTCTTACTCGTAGCTTGACATGCGCGGGCAGCATGGAAAACGAGAGGCCTATTCATCAGCTTCGTGATCATGCCGATGCCTTGCATAATATCATTCGATACACCGCACCGCTCCTCGCCCTTCATAAAGAGGTTGTCCGAACCTCAATTGAGGCATCCTGCAAAGACTGGCAACATATCTCGCCCGTAGGACTACTGCTTCGTCAAAAAAGTGGACATAAATCGTTCTCAACCACAAATGTCGTCAGGTGCGGCCTACAATATATGGGGTGCCGTTACAGGTGCTGCTGGACTCGCTGCCACACTGCCTATGGTATTCACCGCTATTCACAACCAACTTCCATCCGCCAAGATGAAGGTGTTGGATGAGATCCTATCCGAAACGCGGTCCTTATTGACGTCTGTGGCTGAGGAGGGATTGTTCTCGGATGTAACTTTCGTCGCTAGCATCGAGCATCGTTTATCTAAGTGCGTTTGAAGTGTCAGCGGTGGCGCAAGGCGTACTGATAATGTCTGTTACAGCCTACAATGCCGGGCAGAAAGATATCGTGAGGAAACATACTGCGCCACAACACTGACGAAACAATTCAAGGAGATGTTGACTGGCTTATCACGACGGATATCATTTCTTTGCAAGGAGGTGAAGAAAATTCGAGCGGTGGTTGTCGTGAGTATACTAGCAACACTATATAGTGCCCTCGATAATTGGTTCCTGATCCCGAAATTGGAAGACTACAACAGCCAGAGAACGTGAAAGACTCTGCAGAGAGACTACTACCCAAGAATCTACTTCTAGTGCAAGCTCCGTTCCCCCGTTCGAAATTGCGATTAATACGAACCGCCTGGATGACCAGTCCTGTACGAATATGTTCTATTCAATGTAAAATGCGCTCACCAGCCGTTCTAGGCAATGATGTCTCCAGCGGTATGTACGAGCTTATGGGTCGATGCTGTGGCGCGCCGCCCACTGCAACGCTTGCTGCAGTGCTACCTAGCGCGTCTTCTTTGCCAAACTTGACATTTGAGTCACATCCTACCGATCACCTTAGTACAGAGAGCATCTCGGCATCCAACGGCAACATGAATGAGGAGGTGCAATATGCTTCCGATCCATCATTGACCTCATTGTTCCCCGCCGCGGGCCAGCAGCACTTTTTCACCTATAATCGGGCAGCACGTCGTGGCTCCCGTCGCGCTCCCCGAAGTATTGGCCATAATCTGGCCCAGCGCCACCGGAAACTCCATGGCGTCCCATGCCCGCTCAAGCCATCGCGCTCAGGCCGTACGTCCAAAGTCCGTGCCGCTACCCGCCCTTATATACACAGGCACAAAGATACTGCCGGCTCCAAGACACTCCTCCGGGATTACGAGCACTGGGGACAACGCGACGCGTCAGACGATGACGAGTGGGCGGACGACGATCCCAACACCGACGATCTCGGCGGCGCCGTCTCGTTGCGCGCGCCCAGTCTAGCATTAAGCACCCTCTGATTCCCGAACGACACACGGTGCGCGGCGTCTGCAACGCCAGTGCGCTGCGCCGGGAAGTGTTCTGAACCAATAGCAGAAGTACCACAAACTGGATGCGCGTCTCGCTGTGGACTCCGCAATCATGCGTGGTGATGCGTGCGGTGGGCTCACAGGCCCGGCGCCGAGTCGTAGACGCAGCTATCTATCTAATATTCTGAAGTCCTGTATTTATGCGCGCAGGCGAGCTCCACCCTCCAGGCGGTGGACTCGTGTTGTGATTTAGAGTTATTCATCGTCTCGCCAAACCGCGTCTTGTGAAACGACGATGCGGATTATGTGGCCTACGCGCACCTGATCGTTTAAAGTACCAGGGCCACTGGGTAAAATTGCGCTTGGGGTCTCGTGCGGTTGAGCATAATGGTTCTTGCTGGTGCACAATCCAACCGCGGTAATCGTCAGGACCATCGCTGTACTTACTGCGCGATGAATTGTCTGTGAATACGACAGTTAGCAACCATTGAGTATTGAACATAGATATGTAAATGTGGCCTCGGAAAAATTCCATTTCTGAGCTTATCTGCTCAAACAAGTGGACGTGTCCAATGTTTGGAAGGTGTTGTCCACATTTTGGGTTCTCGGCAATAGTCCGTCACTCCCCCCTGCGTACCCCAGAAGTAGATCAAACGTTGGCAACACGATGCACGCGGTCTTCGATTTCGAAACTCCAGTCAGATAGGAAATCGCTAAGGCACACTCCACTCCAAAAGGCTTTATTAGCAGATGGATGCCGTACATCATTAAAGAGCAATGCGCTGCAAAGATGCGCCCAAGTCAGATCATGAACGTCCGAGAAAGTGCGCGGTATCATAAAAGTGTTTCCAAACCATCATCGCAAGAAGGGAAAGTCGTAAATCGATATACGTCTGAGACGCCGCCCGGTACTTTCATTGTCATGTCCTATGTTGTTGCGCACGCGCTCTATGGCGCTTTAGCAGCAGCCGCGGGGCGACTGCGGGAACGCAAGGAGCCCGTCTGAACCTGTGCGAGGCAGGTTTGGTACCCAGGGCGACTGCACTGCCTCCAATGCAGGGAAGCGCACGGTCTCGAGCCACGGCGAGAAGAGCGGCGTGTGTATCATCGAGGGTGCGCGGGGGTCGAACTGGGACGGGCTCAGACCGATCGTATTGAAGAGAGCGCCCATGCCACCGGGAGAGCCAAGCGAGAATGATGACGAGCCGGGGGAGCCTAGTAGGCCGAGGCCGAGTAGACTACACAGGACGCTGAGTCGTCGCACGAAGGTAAGTGGGGACAAGAGAAGGATGAGTGGGATGGACGTACCTGGCCTTCCTGCCCTTGTTACGATGTCCTGTCCACGACTCATACGGCGCCATGCCAATGTCGAGTGTGATCTCTCCGGTGAGATAGTCGCTGGTCACAGTGGATCGAGAGGAGGAGCGTGCGCGGCGCCCGGAGGGCTCAGGCGTCACGATGATGGAGGGTGTCGGAGGGGAGTTGAGAAGACGGCTGGCTTGGAGGGCATTGCGCTTGTCTCGCCCACGATCGACAACGTCTTGCGCGAGGCTCTCCGCGGTGATTTCTTCGTCAAAAAGGAGCCTTTTCTCGTCCTGCCAGTCGAATCGTGCCTGGAGCCAGGAATTGAGCTGGACGACCGTGGCTGGATCCAGGCTGGCGAGCATGAGGGGAGAATCGATCGAGATGGGCCGACGGGAAAAACTCAAGGTCGCAACCTGTTCTGCGATGGCCATCGCAACCTCAGCCTTGCGGTCAAATGAGTCTTTTATCGCAATTGGAGACATGAAGTTCGGAAGTGCGTTTGGGGATTTGAAAAGGGACAATATGATACGGAAGCTTCTTTACAGGGACGTACAATCGGCCAGCGATTGGGAACGGTCGAAAACAATCTGAAGAGGGGTATCAGAGAGCGATGAAGGACAGACACCTCCAGCCAGACGAAGCGGAAGGAGAGTCATCTCTCTTCACGCCGTGCACTTATACACAGGCTGTCAGTCGGAGTGCCATCAGTCCCGAACGATCTCACCATGTGCGACCAGCGTCACTTTCTGCGCTGAGACACCCGCCAGCGCCGCACACTAGTATATCCTCCACCTAGTTCAACTACAACTCTATGCCATCCGTATACCGAGGAGTCTTTGCTTTGTCTGTCTTCATATTCCAGCAACTACTCGAGTGTACAGCAGCTTGTTTGGACTGATGGTGGTCCCTTAAATGTAACGTCAGCATCCGAGCTGCCAACAGCCATGGCTGACAGGTCTGCGCTTGTGTCCAGAGCGCTGCACAGACCGACAGCTCGATCGCTTGTGGTAAAAAATCCGAATCGGCCACGGACTTAAATTCCCAAGTAAGACTTGTATAACATCTGAATGCCTTGCTCTCAGCGCCTTAGACTCTTGTTCACTTGATGTATCAGTTCCACCAGGTGCTGAGACTTGCGCCGACAGAATAACAGGCACGGTATCGGCGTCTACGGTCATGGGCCTGTCACCGTGGGTTAATTAACGAAACTTGGCAGTCGAACATGCGTGGGAAACTGGCTGCGAGAGATGACACTGTTCTGTAATGCTCGAAGCACGATCTGTCGGCCGAACTTTACATGCAAAGAACATAGCAAGCGGATCAATCAGAGGCGACCGATCTATGATGTTCAGTGCCCGAATGTGGTGCTCAAAAAATCGAGTAAAAATGCGATCTCTTTTGGCGCATGTTCAGCGGCACATGCTCGATGACCGGACACCGTGTTTTGCGGGCCACGGTGTGTTGATCTCGGCCAAGAATTTGCAACTTTCCGAAGTGCCGGTAATTACCTCTTTAAACAAAAAGCGGAAATCTGATTGGTTGTAAGGAGCACTTCAGAGTTACATACACACATATTACTTTGTGCATTAGTTGAATATATTCCGTTGCCCCGGGCTGAGTCTAGGCACTTTCTTGAGAACAATTGCAGTCAGAGGTTCATAGGGGTTGTCGAGGCTCCGGCTTAGATATGAGAGACATGCTAGTGGTAACGCTAATCTAACACTATCTCCTGCTGTCGGGCCCCCAGCAGAATTCCGCTAATAGGCTTCCTGGGACCTGCGCGTATCAGCGGAGCTCGCAGTCAAAGCGACTTGGCTAAATCCCGAATTACGGCGAGTAGCCAAGTCGCTTGTTCCTCATATTTGGCTTGCCGTGAAGACGCATATTAAATGTCACTTTCTGCCAGCGCGCTGGCGCAAATCGTCGAATCGGGACGCTATGCAGACCGTCGATAGAACACGTCTTGCCGACGAACTTCAATGATAGTATTGTGTGGCGGGGAATAATTTATCAGCCATCTGCACTCTTGTCCCTGTCGCAGACCCCGAACAAGCTAATCAGCCGAGGAATTGGATATTATTAGATTAATATTACATCCCCAGTAATTACTAGACCCAGTGCGAGTACCACAGCCTGTACCTTGAGACAAGGTATCATGACCCTTGAGGATCATTGGTAAAATAATCGCTCTTGCTGTCGCTGCGAGGACGCCGCAGATCGAGGCTGCTGTCGGACGCGAATTTGATGGGGGGCTCGTCGGACCCGTCGTCCCGGTGCACGACCCTCGTGATGTTGACCGCGACGCGTCCCATCGCGAACGACTGCTCCCGCTCGTGCGGGCCGAGTCCTGCGCCGGATGCAATGTCCGACGAGTCGTTATGCGCGCGCTGCGCCCAGCCCAGGCCAACGCGCACGTTGATTGACATGAACGCGATGCCGGCAATCGCGCAGTACGTCTCGCTGAAAGTGTACTGAAGGTTGGAACGGGTATGATAGGTTACGAAGAAGAGGATAGTCCACGCGCTAGTGGTATTGGTCAAAGCTTTAGAAAGGATGTGGCAGTTCAGTGGAATAGACATACGTGTAGAGAGCAGCACTCTCGATCAAAATACCCATGACGCCCTGCATCAACGGTATGTTAACACGCCAGCCAATAAAGGATAAGAACCCCAACCATCAGACTACTACCGCCATACTGTTTCGCACTTCTGGTAGCTCTCCAAATTCTCCATGCAATGAAGCCTACAGGGGGACGGGTCTCACAACAAGCAATTCGATCAGATCCACGAGCTCACTCACCTGTGCTATAGACGTTAGTGCTACATCACCGGGAAGTCAGCGTCGAAAAACAAATATTGGGTGCGCGCACTGCGCACCAAAGTGTGAAAACGCAGTTCGCCGTGATCCATTGTCCTGCCGCAGTGTCGAATATATCTTGTCCAGGCAGGAGCATTGCTAGCGAAACGACAATCCCCACTGCACACACTTACAACATCAAAGAGTATTAGTGGACAAACTTAAAAATGCTACAGCGAACACTCACCTGCCAAACCCACAAGTGTGCCAACAGGGAAGATGATAACGAACCAGGTGTATCCCCATACGATCCACAACCGGTAAATCTACAGCCCACACAGTATACACCACAGAACCACGCAGGCGACTTGGAATATCTTACAATCATAGCGTCGCCGATAATCAAGGAAGACATGAGCAGCGAGATTTGGACAATTTCTGTCGGTTTACGCATGTCACTGAGATATTCCGTGGGCAGTGTCCCTCCATCACAGAGCACAAATGCCTGAAATCCACGGTAGACACCGAGAATCCAATGCTACTCACAGCACCGAACACATTAGCCTGCGGAAAAACTGTGACTAGAAAGCACTCACAGCGGTGTTGGTAATGAACAGAAATAGGGCAGCCAAGGACATGGGCGTGATGATAGCAGCTTGTCGAATAACTCTCGCATTTACCGGAGAGTTGATCAGCTCCTCTCTTCGGCGTATTAAAATGGACAGGGATGCGACAGAGAGCACAAACAAGATTCCGTAAAGCAGGCTCTCAATATACACCGAGGCAACAGAGGCGGCGAGGAGCGAGACGGGTGCCATGGCTGAGCAGCCTGGTGGTACGCCGCAGCGGCGCAGAGGAGGAACCAAATTGTCGCATGCTTATGATTTCGCGGACTGCATATATGAACTGCACGCAGAACGCTCACACGAGAAGCATCCCTCCGCATGTTGCTATTTCGTATTCGAAACCGAGAGTCTCCACCGGCGCACAGATTTTAAGAAGGCGGCGTGTCGTCAGCCTGTAGGGGTCATGGATCGATTTCGATTACCTGATCCTGTGGGAATGGTATCAGAGTTTGCCATTTCGAGAAAGCGTCGCACTCACGAGCACTCGTTAGTGGCTGAATCGCGGGGAATAAACTGCTCTGATTTTTTCTCGGAGGATCCTTGGCAACCAATTCAACTCAATACGTTCTTGTTGCAATAACACCCGGCCTCCTACGGGTTCAGAAAGAAGCCGGGACGGGCGCCGCGTGGAGCTGGTGTGAGAAGTAGGTTGCCTTTAGCCTGTAAAGCTCGGACAAATGAGTCAAAGGTCTATAAAAATTCACATACTTTTATTCCGCGCCAGTCCCCAGTACAGCGCACAACCATGTGATAGTGAGTTACTCCCAAGCCGTGTGCTCCATGTGAGTCAACATTAAGTTGGTCCTAATGGACTCTCGAGAGCCTGGGAAGGAAAATCCATGATGGAAGAAGGCTGCAATTGGCAAACAAGTGCGGAGCGAGATGATATCATCAAGTAGGAGATTAACTAGATCGAATGATCGAGGAGCGTATCTCAATTGAGCGAACTGAGACGGAAGCAACAAGCCTATTCAGACAGCGGCTAAGTGCGATGGGGTTTCGAGTGTGTGTAGTGTATCAGATCCCCTGGGCGTTCATAGTGGCAGGCTGGATAAGATGGTATACAAAGTCAATGGACTATCTGAAATGGAAAACCCCACAAAGACCGAAAAAATAGAAGGGTGAGATGGGGCCCTGTATAACCCCGAGGCTCGGCACGCGACAACCACCAGGGGTCACTGCCACTTTTTGCTTGAGGACAAAAGGCCGTTATACAACGCCGACATGCTTTATGAAACACCTGGAAGCGTCTCGCTCGGAAACAATGCCACTAAATCCGAGCGCATCACTTTGCTTCTTAGTTGATTCTTTGTTGATGAAATTGTCAAGAATCGAAGGGATAAAGGCGCTTTTAAGCGCGGGCACGAGCACCTTTGCAATTAGTCGTTGATTCTGTCCAAGGTAGGGCTGTCGCTCTAAGAGAAAGATGTAAGAACGACAAGACCTCTTGCTCTGATTACGACCAAACGTAGTCAGACAGAAGCGGCCGCCCGGTTCTTTCCGCTCGCAAGTCTCTCATGCTTTGCCATTCACTTCAGAGCTGAAAATTCTCTAGTGTAACATCTGCTCCCTGATAGGGAATTGTCAGCATGGTGATGGAAAGGTTGGAGGATTTGAAGGAAGTGCGCCGGATGGCGATGGAGACAGGTACGTGGTAACGCGGATCTTCGATACATTGACGGCGAACCATGACAGAGTCTCTGCATTTCAAGTATTCCTTGATTCCAATAGCACCCGTAAGATTCACCATGTGATGGTTACTAAGAGGTGAACGAGCGACCATGAGCAGCTTTGAGTGTATCCCACTTTGCACAATATATTGATACTGTACGATCAAGCTTAGCACGTGGTCAAATTGAGGCATTAAGTACGAACCAAAAGTAAAGGCACTGTCCGCAAATATCCAGCCTCCTTGCAAACATCTTCATCCGCACGAGTCATAGACTGGACGGTTACATCAGCACCATGAGCTTCAAAGGAGAACCTCAGTACTGATCTTCCGCACGAACATAAGACTTACGAACAAAATCCATAAAGCAACACGATATCAATATGAGAACAGACAGACTATGTTCCCACACAAGATGTCTAGAGTAGATGGCTGTCTCATTGATGACGCGTCATCACCAAACACCAACACTGAGAGTAAATACAAAGGGAGTAGTCTGGGCGACAGACGTAGGCTGTGACAGATTGCTCAAAAGGTAACCGGTTGTGTACCTCGTCTCCATCAAACGAAGGCTTGAAGTATGCGATGTTGACGTCAATGGCCCAACGCTAACCATATTCATGCGATGAGAGGTGACCTTGTAGATAGATAAATTAGATCTTACTGTCGCGATGGCATAAACAAGAGTATGGATACGACGAACAGGATGCGCGTTTGCATAATTCGACATGTTGTATCTCTATGAAGGATTGGCTGGAGACGACCTTAGCTAGGACGAGGCGATGTACACATGTGCATTGTGCACATAGCATCAGGTGAACGCTACTTTCGTTGAACTTGATACTCTCATGAGGCTCCCATCCAAAAACTATACCGCAATACTTTGTGTAGGCCAGACAATGGGAGACACGGGAAGCCGAAGTACCATCGAATCCAGTATTTTGTACTTGGGACTGAGAATACAACGACTAGTATGCGACAGACTATGAATTCCGCGTTGTGAGATGAAGGTATACAATGCATAAAAGGAACGTACCAGCATGTAAGTCAGTGGCTACAACTCAGGACATTGAACAGCACCAGGCTGCTGCATGCTGTGAGCAGTACTTGTTACTCTTGTTTCACTCACAGATTCCACATTCCCAGAGCTTGTATAATGATGACTCTCACCGAATTGTGTCAGGACTTTGCAAATCAGATGAACGGATTCGTGCCGTTAGTGCACACAATGTCGATATGAGCTTCAGATTGTGGTGGAAATAAGGTGGATCACGCGAAATTCAGACAGATGGGGGTCATGCTACGCTACAGATATAACCGTCAGCAGGCTTGAAGAGTGGCAAACAGTCAGATTGTAAATCAAGTCAGCCACTATTGTTGCTATTTTTGGAAATGTCGCGTCAAAACTTGAAACTCGCAGCATTACCTTTGAGACTTACGAATCTTGATGTGCAGTTATAAGATATGCCTTGTGTAATATCATAACATTCGCCGGTCGATGATATTGAGCTTTCCGCTCATTGCTGTGTAGCTGCCAGATCATACCTCCAACGTATCCGGTGCTGCAATGTTGGATAGCTGATGCCGGGCACGACTAACGCTTCAAACCAGTTTACAATTTTTCTGTACACACAGGAATTATAATCCGCGGACGTAACTATCCGAACCTCAATATACGAGAAACTGTCAAACATGTTGATATAGGCGTTAAAACATTGCATATCGCCTTATTCGACACCAGGAAGGTTCCGTCCTGCGCACAAGATTACTATGTATATCGTAACGCTCGATACATGGATCGTTACGTACCTGCATATTGCTTTGTTTCTTTATTGATAAAATCGCCGGCAGAGTCGGCCTGTGAATTGCTCTGTAGAACAATCAAAAATGAGTGTCTTGGTTGAAATTCTTGGAGTGACAGTCCGCTTACCACATTCACGCCGGCCTTTTTCCCCATGAATGCGATACCTTTGTCTAGCCAGTCCTGTTTCTGGCCTTGCGCCCCTGGCTGGTTAGCACCGGTGCCGGAGTTCACGCTCTGCTGCTGGGAGTTGTTCTCGTATCCGCCTGCAATCCCGGATCCCATTTGCCCCTGTCCACCTCCCATATCGCCCTGCGATTGCTGCAGGTTGTCATAGGCGCCGCCCTGGCCCTGGCTGAATTGCTGTGGGGATGTCTGGGCTCCTGGGGCTTTGTTCTGTGGCGACATAAAATCGTCCATGGTGATAGCTCGAATGAATTGAGTGTGGACTAGTTGGATGCGAGCGGGCTATATAGCGGCTGTCCGTCAGATTCAGGTGGAAAGTTTCTCAAGTCAAGCGGGAGACGACTGGTCTTATATGTAGCCCGGTGCGTTACATCATTGTGGAGATTGTCGAGGATGTAAGGCTCATCCTAGATGCGGCAGGTGTATTTCCGCTTGTGGGGGCATTGAAGGAGCACACCGGCACCCTGTGCGATGTTGTCAGAGAGAGATGACGTCACCATCAAGTATTGGCCCCTATGTGATGTCGACATAGTGGTGTATGTGTTTTATTGAGCCGGGTTTAGATAGCCTACAAATCACGACAACGCTGGCATATCAACTATATTTCTTCCAATACTCTTACACATAAAAATTAGTCTGCAGCTTCCCTTCACTTCCCCTCTGCGACAGCCCCGCACTCAGGACACTTTCTTATTGCCTCATTGTTCATCCAGTTCTGGATGAGAGGCTTCAGTTGAGTACCGAGATCAGTCACGTGGAACGACTCTTCGCGAATGATGGTCGGCGAAGTGTGCACTGACGCTTTGCAATACCAACGAAGGCGGTCTGTACAACGGGACACATAAGTGCATTCCCTGGAAACATGGCGTTTCTAGCTCACCGGTGGCATTGTCTGGACGGACACGTTCGACAACTAGGCCGATCGTGTTCGCGAAGCGTACGGGATTGTGCGGGGTGTTTGCTACATTGAAGACCATCTACGTCAAAAGACTGACCATCAAAAGAGAACGTTCACAAGACGCACCAGGCAGCAGGAACATTTCTCCCTCCTCAATCCTGATGTCTCTAAACTCGCTGCCATCAACAACCCGAAGTAGCATTCCGCCCTTGTGCTGATAGAACCACTCCTGTAAAATAAGGTAACACTGGGTCAGCTCTTTCATACATAGCGGAGCAAAAAAATGGGACGCACCTCGGTCTCGTTCACATGATAGTCATTCCGTTCATTAGGCCCACCCACAGCCATAACAACATAATCCTTCCCAGAGTACAGGCAATAATTGTTCACGGGTGGCTTCAGGAGATGACCATTCTCCGAGAGCCACTTGGGGAAGTTCAGAGGAGGTGCGAGGGGCATTGTGGTTCACTGTGAGTGTGCAGAGCTGAGAAAGAGATACGATATGATTCTGCCATGATCCTCTTTACTAAGAGGGTATGGTCTGCGATGAGAACATGACGATTACACTCTAGGATCGTGATCGGCACGTGCGGACTTGGCGCGCTCGCAAGTCCGACGCGGACTGCACTGGTGAAGCTTTGTGTAGTTCGGAAGCATATAATATGAATTACAGCCATACATATGAATACAGCTTACAATAAACAATATTAAGCAACTGTGGTCATCTCTTAACCATAAAGGGTCAAAAATCTTCAATATCATCGCCTTCTAGCCATCCTCCACCATCCTCCCCGCCTTCACGATCCCCAGTAGCGGTTGTAATTCGGGTAGCATCATCGTCCTCATCAGAGATATGGTCCCTGTCTTCTTTTCCATCCTCTGTCAGCTGTGCCAGCCCGCCCACATCTTTGACGAAATCGAGCCTCGAGAATGACCTGTGGGTCGAAGGAGCTGAGCTGTCACCTGGGAAGCCATTAGATCGTATCAAAACGCGAGAGTCTGTCATGTCGAACACGCCTGCGAAGTCCCGCATCCTCAGCACGGCGCCAAGCTCGAGAGCTATTTCCCGTCTGCTCCATGTCCCTGCACCTTCATCTATGTCCTATATTCACAGACCACTACGTCTGTTTCTGTCACGGTGTAAGAGCAAAGAGAGTGGACTGACTCGTCGCAGCCATTCCTGGACATCCCGGACCCCATCTTCCGCTTCATGCTCTCGTTGAAGCGCTTGAAAGAACGCAGGCTTGTAAGCTTTCTGATTGCGGCGCACTACAGGTGAAGGCAGCGAATGCAACGCGCTCAGCGTGACCAAGTGGAAGTGATGCGGATTTGCTTGATGCCACTGTATGGATGCAACATCAACTTCATACACGATCGAAATATACTGACAAGACGCACCGTCTCACCACCACTCGAGTCGATGTAACTCAGCCAATCAGCCAAAGCGGCACATTCGTCGAGTGTGTTGCAATACTGAGTGTAGTTCTGTTGGACATATAACGAGAGAAGCGACGCGTCGATCGGTGAGTCTGCGTAGAGTGTCTGCATGTAACCAGAATGAGTGATCATAAACGCGACACCTAATAATCGTGCATCATAGAGGATAACTCACATCCACGTCGACGCGTGAAGCGCGTCGATGGTGTTCCTGTAAGTGTGTAGGGAGCGGTGGGGGATCTCTCAGCTGCGCGTCAAACATCCTATCGCGTTGGATGTCCTTCGCCGATGCCGACGTGCTCTCTGGGTCGCCTTTGCCTAAGTTATGCAGTCTTAATGCAAGGTTCCAGTCATCGAAAGTATTCTCATACGTTTGTTATACAAGATCTTTCCCAGCAGATGAAATAGGGCCAAACTCTGCTCTCGCCTTGTCACAACCTCCATTAACACACCTACCTGCAGTCCACCGCGCTTCTTCCTGGTGCCCTTCGCCGATCTCTTACCGGTGTCAGCAGTACATGCAAATTGTAGGGTCATCACTGCGCTGCGGATGTCACCATTCGATGACTCAGTGATAGCATCGAGCACGTCTTTTGAAGGCGGAGAGCCAGAAGCAGAAGAATAGTGCGCATTGAGGAGATTCTGGAGTGCTTTGCGAAGAAAAGTAGGTGTGAGAGATCGGAAGCTAGATGACGGTGAGTTAATAGACGTGTCACGAATACGCGTCATACGCACCCTATTTGTGTGACGCTCGGAGAGTTCAACAACGATGGTGGGAGCACGGTCCGTATATCAATGATTTCTTTAGCTCGTCTCCACCCCCCAGCATCATTTTCTGGATCCTCTCCCCGAAACCCCGTGTCGCTTATAATCAACACGAGCGGTGCGCCCAGCACATGCGAGAAAGCGAATGTTTGCAGGGCAGCGTGAACCACAGCTTGTGTCGCGGGATGTAAGACATTCGGAAGATCTTCAAGGAGGATAATCTGTCGTTTAGCTTGAGCCTCTCCTGTAGATGTCGAATGAGCTAATTCAGGTGTATGCGACCGAGAGGGAACCGTTGCCTGGGATGATTGTGTTTGGCTACCAGGGAGCACAGTAGATGTTGAAAAGATAGTGTGACAACTCGACGCGCGTGTGAGGAATGTCCTGAACTTGTCTGCGAGTCCCTCATACTCCACCGGCTCCTCGTCCAAGTCTAGGACGAAATCGTCTGTGCGAGTAAACTGCTCGTCCATACTATTCCGCCATTCCAAGAGGTCGCAATTGAGTTCGCGAGCGAGAACGCGTATAGCGGCAGTCTTTCCTGTTCCTGCGGGACCGGTAAGGGCTAGAATTCGCTGATGGCAAGGCCTGAGCAAGAGCTCCGGACGAAATGTGAAGGATGTCATACTCTGTACTTTCTAAGCTTTCCCGAGGGACCCCCATCAAATGCTTCCATTAACCATTGGCGCACTTCTTGTATTTTCCGTTTGTTCACAGCAAGATCTTCCTGAGTAGTGCCAAGAGGCGAGCTTCAACTTTGGTTGCAGATCGGAGTAAAACAGAAAAGATAGAAATATACCTCAGTCAAAGGTTCGTATCTATCCACCCATAGTTGGTGACCTTTTAGAGTTGTCAACTCGACGACGAAGTCTGTGAAGGGAAAACTCACCAAATTGGGTGTCATCATCCTCTATTGTCTCTTTCATTTTTCCTTTACTTCTTACATCCTGTGAAGACGTCTTATGATGGCTGGCTGTCAAATTAAATGTAGGTGGTCTAGCAATCTGCAGGCTATGATATTCATTATCATGCAACCGACTCCTAGTCACCTTGCAAAAGAACTTACTGAGGTCAATGACTTGACCTTTTGTTTCTTCGCTGGAGGCGGGTTCGTGCCATCAGGAGTGCTGAGGCGTAAGATGCTGCGCGTTGACGATGGGGGTCTGTTCCTCTTCTGGCCCGACCTCTGAGACATGAGTGTATAAAGTTCAAGTTGAACTCGAAGTTTGAAGCATTCCGCCACTACTCTGAAATCAATCTTAGCTCAGCCGAAGCGCCGGCGCTCGTCACGAGTAGACAACTCGTAGAGCTGGAGAACACGAGCATCAAGCAACCTGCTACACCATTCGACCGTGTATTGACAAGATACAGTCACACTTTGTGTAATGAGCGAAAGGGCCGCCACACAACCCCGCAGATAAAACAACGATTCGCTATACGTAGAGCGAATACCAATTAAGTACCGAATAGCCCCTTGGTTGTGTACGTACATCGTGCAAAAAGCAGGACACTCGCTGAGGCGAGTACGCAAGTCAATAAGCCATCATAGGAGCAACCGTCAAAGAAAGATAATACAATGTCAGCAACCAGAGCTCGAGACATCAACACAAGCCTCGCTCGTTCAATTAGAGGATAGAGCATTGGTGTACATTTAGTCTCTACCAAAACAATCCTGCGTAAAATCCACCTCCGAAATACGCTCCTTTGCACCTTTGATGAAGTCTTCGAGAAGACACAGGCCATCCCTATTGTGCTTCTCACAGTGAGCAAGCCCGGTCAATGGAACCACGCCGTCGTTCAGAAGGAAGCGTATAAATGGCATCTTCTTGGTACGACCAGACGTGGCGCACGATACCACCTGTGCTACTAGGTTCGCAGAGAAGGGCGTAATATCTCGTACTCGGAAGGTCTGCACATATGAAACATGAGCATGAGAAGGAGTGGTAAAACGAAGACAACTTTCTTGGTCAATAGGAATGTGATCGCTCGGCAACGGGCCATTTGCAGCCAGTGTCGTAAAGTTCAGAGCGGTGATTACTTTACAGGAAATTCATTGTCAGCTGGGGTACAGCCAATACCAACGAGCACACGAACCATTAGCTATCACTGCATCGTGAGTAGCATCAACATACATCGGCTGATCGAGAGGAAAAGTGATCTTGTTGCTATTGAGGGTACGATTCATGCTTGTATCGAAGACTGTAGGCCGTTCCTTCGTCAAACGAGCTACTAGTTCTTGTACCCAGCCAATTCCTTGTGCCGCGGCGACAGGGTTTCCAAATGCAAAGCCATACCAAAATGATAAGTCTGCCGGAGGATCCTCTCATATTAGCATCTCTTGACAGCGGTGCAAATCCTGTTGATGGGACATACCACTCGCGTACTCGTAACCCCTCCATTCGTCCTCCGTGAATAGCTCACAGAACTTCGAGTATCCAAGCGCCACTGTCTCATACGCGCATGTCTCCTGCATCCATGATACATCCTTGACGGTAAGTGTATATCCCTTGATGTACTCTTGTAATCGAGGGACCGTTTCTGCAAGATAGAGCTCAGACCAATTGCCAGCAGCATATATCCCAGTAAGGAAGTGTTTTCCGAAAGCGTTTGGACAATTCATGTACGGTGCCAACGTATTGTTGAATCCTGGCGCCTCGATAATATATAGCTGATGATACGATGTCAGATATTCTGGGATTCCCCAAAAACCGGCCGCGAAGTTGAGCCTGTAGACGTGAGTTTTGGTCACTCGAACTATAGGATATATGGAGTCAGCACTGACGAAGTCTGAACCATTCGTTCTGCATGACGTTTGCGTAAGATAATATACTCGTACGTGAGCACAGCGGGGGCTCTTACCTTGTGAACATGTGCGGAAAACGGGCAAGTGGCGTTTAAATCTGTTGAGCAGCTCGCCATACTTGACCCTAAATCCAACGCCGAGATTAAATCTGTGTGGGAAGGAATCGCAGATAAATACCACAGTATCATATCGCGCAGTGAACTGACGGCTCATCACGACCGAATGGAGTCAAAATTTCTTCTCCAAGCAGATCTTTCCACGTATTCAAGAACTGCAAGGGGCCGCTCGCCTTGAAGTGAGGCCTCCCAATGACGGAAGGTAGACCAGAATCGGAGTCATTCGCACCAGGCATCGGCGTACGATATCTCGCCCCGTGCCGATGAAGAAGATGTACCTGGTCCAGCTCGCATCCATCCGGGACTTGCGGGGAGGTGTTCGGGAGTCCGAATGCATCACCAACAGAGAACCAGGGAGTAAGGCTACCCCAGTAACGCATTGGATTGAACTCGGGATTGGATCCACTGTATCGCACCGAGGGTGCTATAATGGGGTAGGTATCAAGATTCAGGGCAGCCGCGGGCGCAGTGGCGATTGCTGCAGCTTCGGACCCCGCTATGTGAGGTAAACCATCCGATGAGCGGTTGAATATTACCGAGGGTAATGGATCACTCACTCGCAGTAGGGCCAGGAAATCCTACCTCACTGGGCCCAGGGAAGTAGCTGTCATGGCGTCCGAAACTAGCTGTAGGGTCAGGGATTTGGAAGACTCCATGTCCCGTGAAGCCTAGCTGATCTGGCACTAAGCCAGCGGGAATAGCAACTATGAGAGGAAAGCTCAGACTACAAAGCAGAAGGAAACGGGTCAACATGACGCAGAGCACGCTGTCAATCCTGAATTCATCTGAGGAATTTATACCCGGATATCGAGGCTTACGACAGCGGTCTCGCATTCGAACCTAAAATGAGGCAGAGAATGGAAGGTCTCTTACTTTCGACAGCATGAACCAAAAACGAGACAAAGAAATCAGGAATAGGCCGCATGAAGCGAAGAGTCACCCCATGAGATGCGTCGATAGATCCGAGACAGTCTTTTTGAACATAAATAAGTGTCTTCATTCCAGAAGACAGACAGACAATATGCTCGTGGCACTGTCACTCGAGACCCCGTTTTGCATGCATCGCCGAATCATAATCCCGACTCTTCTAATCGCCCCATAAAGACTCATGTGAGCAACAGGACACGCCACTGATCAAAAGGGAATAATATTATCGTTAATCAGTAAGACGTTCCCGGTGCATTCAAAGCATCGTCGTCTAGCCACAGGTTGAACGTATGGATGCTGTCACAGTGTGTGCCGACCCGTAGGATTCATGACATACAAAGAGTTGGTCAAAACACGTACTTTCTCCAAAACCAAAACTCGTCTCCACACACTTGCTCCTGTCGAATTCCTAATTGCACTCGCTGAACGGAAAGCTAATCTCAACCTCCTTGACTGGGTGCATGTTTCACGACATCAACGACACAGCTCGCCCACTGGATAGCCGAAGCTGCAAGTAGCTTAGAACGCTGTCAGATGCCTGCGTGCAATAAGTCCGAGGTTCCCTCAATGATACACGTTGAGCAGGTTACAGGAACCTTGTCGGAGGCCCGAGTCCCCGGTGCGGGCTGGAGCCGTTGATTGGCTCAGTGACTATTAGCGAACCTCTTGCTGTGCATGGCGTGTTCACTCCCCACTGAGCGCGCGGGGCCGGCAATCCGACAAGCTTCGAACCTCTGGGCTGCGGCGTCACCCTAGCACGCGATGGGACCTGCTCGTGTCCCAGGAAGGGCTCGTGACTCCATCTATACTCGCTTCCTCCAATCCTTGGGTATCCATTCAGCCTCATCTGGGTCGGACTTTGCCTACTATGAGCTTAGAGCTACGGATGATATACTTGAGGAACCTACCGACGAGGAGAGGAATAGCTTGAGTCGAGTGGCCGACTCGATACCGTGGAATGCTTATCGTGAGTTGCAGCTGCCTTGTCTCATCCCTCGAGCCAACGCTGATGCGCGTGGGGTACGAGTTATTGCATTCATTGAGCTAGCTGAAAGGTTTTCTTATTACGGGACAACAGTGGTTTTTGTGAGTACGCGGATACTCTTGATTCCCTCTGCAATTCACAAGGCTCAACAGACGAATTTTTTACAACAACCGCTCCCCCCTCACTCGCGTACTGGCGCCGGATATGCAGACGGTCAATCAGGTGCTCTGGGGCTGGGTCAGCGTGCATCTTCTGCTATTGGAACGTTTAACGCCTTCTGGTGAAGTCTCTTATCTCTTTCAGTGCGTCAGGTCGACCTAACACACTCAAGGGTGTACTTGATACCACTGTTTGGGGCTTATATTGCCGACACGCGTTGGGGCCGATTCAAGACTATATGCATCGCCGTGGCCATTGCTCTCTTCGGACATGCTCTTTTGGTGGTGTCAGCTATTCCCGGTATAATCGAGCATCAGAAGCTGGCGCTCGTATACTTCCTCGTGGCTTTGATCATCATGGGAGTCGGGACGGGAGGATTCAAGGCAAACATATCACCATTGGTAGCCGAACAGTACAAACAGACGAAGCTTTTCGTGAGGGTCAATGGTAATGGCGATCGTGTGATCATAGATCCTGCACTGACAACTTCAAGAATCTATATGGTCTGTCCTTTTTGTTACTTCTGGCCCTGCGGCATTCAATTTCCCCCCCTCTAGTATTTTTATCTGTTTATCAATATTGGTGCCTTGGTCGGTCAAATTGGCATGACCTACTCAGAAAAGGTACAAATTTCACAAGGTTTCAAATTGTACATACAATCTTACGTTTCCAGTACGTAGGCTTCTGGCTTGCATATTCTCTGCCTACTGTGATATTCCTACTATGTCCTATCGTCCTGTTCCTGGGACGAGACCGCTATGTTAAGTCCCCGCCTTCCGGATCCGTCCTCGGAACAGCATGGAAAGTCTGGCGCTTTGGAATGAAGGGAAAATGGTCTCTGAATCCCTATACTACCTATCAACACATGACGGCACCTAAATTCTGGGACGGCGTTAAACCCAGCCGCCTCGAAGATAGTCTGCGCCCTGAGTGGATGGCATTCGACGACCAGTGGATAGAAGAGCTTAAGAGGGGGTTGCAAGCGTGCGAAGTCTTCCTCTGGTACCCTATATACTGTAAGCAACTCAACACTTTGTCTTCGAAAACCTCTTCATATGCTCGTAGTTCTGGTGCTCGGACAGCTGGGTACCAATTTGACGTCGCAAGCTGCGACTATGGCGACTCACGGCATTCCCAACGACGTGTTGTCGAACCTTGATCCTTTGATCCTGGTCATATTCATTCCCTTGTGCGACTTCTACGTCTATCCGGCATTACGTCGCGCTGGTGTTCGATGGACGCCGCTGAGGAAGATCTCTCTGGGCTTTATGACTGGATCTGCGGGGATGTTCTGGGCTGCCACCGTGCAGTATTTCATTTACAGGCGAAATCCGTGCGGAAATAACGTAGCGACGTGCGTGGATGCGGACGGCAAGACAATCACCTCAGACGTAAACATCTGGTGGCAAACCGGATGCTACATCCTCGTCGCGTTCTCCGAGATCCTCGCTTCGATCACTGGCTTGGAGTATGCGTATACGAAGGCACCGAAGAACATGCGCTCGCTCGTCATGGCGGTTTTCTTGTTCATGTCTGCTGTAGCAAGTGCCATTGGCGAAGCTTTCGTTGGTAAGCACTCATTCTTTGTCTGATACGAGAGGTTTAGTAACATGATGATTAGCGCTGTCAGCTGACCCTCTGCTCGTGTGGAATTATTCGCTGATGTGCGCACTTGCTGCTGTGTCCGGCCTTCTCTTCTGGCGAAGGTATCAGCATCTTGACGCCAACGAAGATGAGATGAACAATCTTAGTGAGGGTCATCTCCACAGCCCAACACACGGTGATGTTACATGATTTCGTGTGTCTCCTCTGAGCATAAATTATTCTACTCGGATGTTCTCTGATTTTCATAAATTTATTGACCCCGATTTATAAGAATGTGTTTGCTTGTGCTACAAGACCCGTGAACAATGGATATTTCGTCATTACTGTATTCGTCGTTGTTGGAACCGAGCATCGAATTGATTTCGTCTCTGTATACAGCAACGTCTGTGACATGCTCATCGTGGGCCCTTCGTCCGCTGACGGTCATTACCAGATCAATTATTCATCGTGACTTGGGAAACCGCACAGCTGAGGGTAAGGCGCCGTTGTAATTTCGTGGAAGATTGCCTCTTGCTCGCCTGGATAACATCATTAGACTAGTCCCGTCGAGTCCTGACTCCATTATGAAACTTTCAGCTCGTGTAGGAAGTCATGTTCAACTTCTTTCATCGTCTTCTGATCATACATAGCACGCTACTATCAGATCTGACCGGACACTAGCTGAGGAGACATGGACATATGCAGCCAATATCGGAATAAAACCCCACCTGTAGGTACAGTACACAGGCTAGTTCGCCCCGACATGACATGCATCCGCCAACCAGGCTAGTTGGCCTAAAAACCTATAGTCCCACTAGTTGGAGATATTGAGCTAAATAATGTGGGCTTACCTCTCGTAGTAAGTCTCTGTGTGAAACACAGGATGGTGTGGTCACCACAGTACGCCGGATAAGTCTGCCAATTACAGCCGTATGACTACAGACAGGTTTTCAGGCTAAGTCACAGTGGCAAACCGGTTATATTATTATGCCGGCCTAGTTATCCCGGATGGCATGTTGTGATGACGGTCAAGATGACGTAGTGTCAACCTGAGGAGGTAATCTAAATGTTTAATTGGCAGCTTCACTTCGCCGTGACGAACAAATACTCGACTCACCCTCTCTAATTCTTTCCCCCCTTTCTCATCCCAGACCTATCGAATTGGCGGACTGTACTCAAGTAATGTGCGACATATACTACGCCCCCCTGAAATCTTTCAAGTACAAGCAGTCAACCCGGCTCGATCTTGCTCTGAGCGCCCCGCCCCGCTGACACAACATTGTTGACAGAACACCGCCTCGATCGTAGCCGTGCTTGGCCGTACCATTCCATTGGTGGACAATCATAAGTATGGAAGCCTGTCGTTTTTCACCACACTCACTTTGCTGCTCCAATCTCCCCTGTTACTGCTAGGATGAACGCCGCGCCCTTGCAGTCGACTACACACTTCTGGGACAAGTTGCCGCCATGGGTTTCGAGTAATCTCCGCGCGCGCAAGTCCTGGCGAATGCTCCTCAGATGCTGGTTTGCTTCCTGGGTCTCGTTCGTTATTATGCTCCCCGACGCGTCGCTCCGCACGCTGGGTAACACGTACGTTTTCACTCCCAGTTATTGTCTCATCTCACCCCTTCCGGTTTTCAGTGCCTTTTTTGCCCTTCTCGGAAGCATGCTCGTCCCACCCAACATGCCCGTTCAAGTGTTCCTCTTTGTGAGTCCCACCCTAGCTTGCAAGCCTGCTTCTAATTATCAGTACTATCATAGGTTCTCATGACAGTCGTTGTTGGGGTTTGTTTCGGGTGGGGAATCAGTGCCGCCGCAATGCGCGCTGCACTTGCGGTACGCAATCAACTCCTCGTTGAACAAACGCTGCTGCGGGAGGAGCAGAGGTAAATCTCATCGGTATCCCGGGCTTTAATTCTGACTATCGGGACAGCGCCTCAGGTCTTGCAAATCCTGACGTGCTGTTTGAAACCGGAATTTTTAATGGCGACTTTCTGGACACACGGTGTGTTTTAATGTATACTCATAGAGTTATTCTCTGAGTCTGGGGCGTGCAGCTCATCAGTCATGTTTGGGGCCTTTCTGGCTGTGGCCTCATTCATTTTTGCACTTATAAGAGCATATATGCCACGACTGCTGATCATGAGCATATTTGGGACTATAGCTGTAGACATCTTCTGCGTGAGTTCCTCTTTTATCTCTTTTTTGGTTGTAGCTGACGGTTCTCGGCAGAGCTATGGTCCGCTATTCCCGTTCGGAGAATATACGCTGTTAAATTCAATGCTGACTTCACTCGCGTGCTACATCGGAATTGCGGTCATTGTAATCATAGTCATATTCCCAGAAACCCTCAATCATGCCCTTTTGACTTCTGTCTCTGGTCTTTTGTCTCAAATTGAGACACTTGTACGTCTTCAGGACGACGTACTAAGCTCCCCGGTAGGCTCCCTGATTGAGGATGGCGCTGTGCTTCAGCGCGTGACGAGCACTAGAGAGGGGATTATAGCAACTCTTCGTGCATGTGAGTGTCTGCTTTGCATAATTCTTCGCAGCTGACGGAACCGACAGTCATTCCACAATTGACATTCATCAATCTAGAGTTTAGTTGGGGCAAGTGGAATGGGGACGATCTTAAAGCATTGGAGGAGCCACTGAGTGTGGTCGTCAGCCGACTGTGTGCGCTCCTCTCAGTTATACTTGTCTTCTGTTGGAGTCGCTGACCGGGCTAGCACAGCGTCGCTGCAGTGCGTTACGCGACTGATAGGACAGAGTCTACATATATCCGATTGCCGGGCATCGACCTCAGACACGACGCCGACTCAGTCTCAACATACGGAAACAGGTGACGCGCCGGTATTGCGGGAACTTTATGCGAGACAAGCTGGCGAAGTGCCCTTTGAGGACGTGTTATCTTCGCTACGAGACGCCACACGCCCGGTTAGGGAAGCTTGCGCTCACACGGTTGTGGCTTGTGCCGCAGTCATCGAGTCGATCAATACTCGGCGATATTCCCGGGACAGCACAGTACATATGGATACACGCCTTGAAGCACTGGATGTAGCACAAGAAGAGCTAGAGAGGTCGCTTAAAGCCTTTAAAAATACAGATCGGTTCGTAATCCTGGAGCCATTCGGCGCAATCCTGGACCTCGCGGGGAATCCGGCTAGCGATGAAGGGGAGACGAAGAAGAGGAAGGGCGCTGCACCACTACGTGCACTTTATATTGCATACACCTTCGCAGTGAATGTCGTAGTCGTCAGTCAAGGAGTGAATGCTTTGGCAGAGGTGATTGGTGAGACCGCACGGAAGAGAAGGAGGAATAGACTATGGGCACCGAAAGGGCTGCGGACGATTTGGAACGTCCTCTCGCAGAAAGATGGCTCCACAGAAGAAGCGGTTGGAGAAGATCCAGTCCGTCCGGAGGAGGAAGGCGAAGAGTATAAAGAGGAAAAAGACTATCGTGAGTGTTCCGTGTAGGGTAAGATTTGTATTCGCTTCGTTGAACTGCCTGTTTTATCAGGGCGGGACCCGGACGGCAGGCCTCCGAGGAATGCTATCCAGCACATATTCAATGTTTTGCATCGAGCGTTCCTGTGGGCTCAAACACCGGAGGCACTAGTTCGTATCATATTTGTCTCACTTGCAGGGTGCATGAGTAGTTGCCAACGTGCGATCATAGTTCGCATTCAAGTACGTATTCGTCACCATCGCGTTATGGGTTCCCTCAGTGTGTCGCACCTCTACTCGTAAGCGGCTCCCCTGTCATCCATTTCGACTTCCCCTAATTGATGTGTGACGATATCTAGACTTCGTATATGCGGAGAAGAGCATTTGGTATGTATTTCGGGATGTTCAAAATTTGGCATCTAATATCTCTTGCAGGGCTTTGATCATGGCGCAGACCACTCTGAACATCTACGCAGGCGATCAGATCTGGAAGTATGGTCTTATTCTGACTTTGGAGTAACTCGTGCTGAAGTAAAAACTACACAGCATTATGTTGCGACTAGCGGGGACTTTCGTCGGCCTTGTCTTTGGCTTGCTCAGCTGGTACATCGGTGCGTCTTCAGCCATGATTTTTCGAAAAATGGGTGATATAATGAAATGCTAGGCTCCGGAAATGGCCACGGCAGCCCATATGGAATGGCGGTTATCGTCGGCGTGTTTCTTATACCCGTACTCTTTCTCCGAATATTTGCTCCTCCTCAGCTTTTGCCTGGAGTTATGATGATTGGGGTAAGCACGGTGTCCTAAGCAAGGTTTTGGTGTACTCAAAATTTGTAGGCGACATGGGCACTTATTGTGGGTTATTCATGGATCGACAGCCACTTGCTGATATTCGGCAATGTCGGTTTCGGTTGGCCGGTTGCCTGGAGAAGATGGGTTCTCGTTGTGATTGGTATCGAAGTTTCATAACATTGGTCGTGTACTCGCTCACAGAAGTTGATAGGGGCTGTTGCGTCGTTCATCATGATGATTTTGCCGCCCAGGTCTGCTCGCAAGTCCGTTCGGTTGCGCTGCGCATCGACGACCGCCTCGCTCGCACACATATATTCTCGCCTCATGACAGGCTGGATCCACGAAGCCGCGTCTGGCGATGGGGACAAGGAAGGCTTAGGTTTTGCGGGTGATCTTGATTGGGCACGCGGGGTGCGAGAGCAGATCATCGGCGTTGCACAGAAAATCCAGGCGCTAAAGATGCAGACGACGTTGGCCAAATTTGAGGGCAACTTACGTGGTGCATGGCCGTACAAGGAATACAGTAGACTGGTCAGTTTAGAAGCGGAGATGTTGGCCAACCTTGCGATGGTGGGTAAAATAAATAATGTCGAGTCAGCTATATACTGATAGGCTGAGGGCTCGTAGGTTGGTGGGTCATTAGCACAGCTGGATCACCAGGTCCGTATTTCGTTACTCCGGCACACCAAGGTCCTCAATCCAAACTTCGTGAGCACTTACCCCCCGTTCTTCTCGTATAATGTGTTGACATACAAGTTAGATCAGCGACGTCATGTCCACTTTCTTGCTAGTTTCGCAGTCGCTTCGCACAGGCGAGCCATTACACCAGACCCAACACCAAGATCTTGTAGATCGCGTTTTCTATCATGGTGATATGTCCCGCCCTATCAACGACCCCGGCGCAGACGGCGGGGCAACTGCACGCTCCCCTCACCTGGAGATTGTGACCAGCTATGAGTACATGTTCTACGCTAGTGGCGTCGCGGCCGTGTTTTTACTCCTTCACGTAAGTGGCCTTTTTGTCTACGCCTAGCTGGACTGTTCAGCTGACAGACGGCTGGCCGCATGTAGAACCTAACCGAGGCGCGCACTATTACGGCAGATTTGTGCGGAGAAGTCTCTCTTGTAGGATTCCAACAATGGAAAGAGCAATATACATATATGATGCTGCCGTCTGATGCTAGGTGAGCTGTGCCGCCGTAGAGTATCCCTCTCCCGATTATCTTGTATAGTATATCTATAGTCTCGCCATCTTTGTAACCTATTCAAGTTGTATTACTGCTCAGTCAGAACGCCGCTATCTACAATTTCGTAGCAATCCTCTTCGCAGCCGGCGTATTTGTTCACGCGAGGGTTGCACCTGCTTATGCCAGACTGGGGGAGATCGTCAGCGTGCTGTCTGTGGTCCTGGTGGCTTTACAACTAAAGTGGTTCAAAGCACAGCTGTAATCTTCGCTACCTCTGGTAGCTTCGTTTGCGGACAAACCCAATATAATTTGTGGAGCGCGTGTAGCTATTTCTATGCACTTCGGCTGATGTCTATGTTATTGTACATGCTTGAGTGGATTGCCACCAAGCAGAGTCGGCTGGATCGTGAGCGTACGCAATGCAGTCATGATAGATAGAACCTCGAATAGTAACAATAGTGAGGTATCATACGAAACATTCGGAACATCGAGGAAATTCAGCGCACAATTCAGATAATGTCAACCACAGAAGGCCATAAACTAAGAAATATATAAGCAAACGTACGTCTCAGAGTATCGAAGACATACCCAAGGAGTCCTACCAAAGTCTGCAGAACCCCTCCGAGAAACGGGATCCATCTGGAAGAGAGTCAGACCGTGATTGTATGGGATATATTGGAGGCACTGACGTTGACATATTGAAATCTCCTGCTTTGAACAAGCCCGCGAGAACATAGCCTATCACTGCCGAGCCTATCACGGCACCGGCAACTGAGAAAACAGCAAACGCAAGGAAAACGAGTAGCGCAAAGGTGACTCGGGACCGCTTCTCGTTCGGCTTCAGCAAAGCACGATACCGATGGGCCAAGGCCGCTGTTGTTTCTGCATCGGCTTCAGGCGGAATGGGGGAGTAGGGAGTCATAGGAATGTCATTGACGGCGACCATCGGTGGTGCACCGAAATAGGAGGAACTGAATGGGACAGGAAACGAGGGTCGTCGCTTGAGGTGCTCTGGCGATGGACGACTGGGAGGAAAGGTTACGTTGAAGAAAGCATACGTAGCGCAGATGATGTATGCAGGCCCATAGAAAACAAGTGTCCAATAGAGTGTAAATCGGAATATCTCTAAAACAGGGGCGGTGAGCTTGTTCTAGTGGATAGAAAGACGAAAACAAAAACGCACCATTACGGTCGTACAAGTAGTAGCCTCCTGGTTGAACTGGGGCCTTTCCTCCTATGGGAAACAACTCAATGACCCAGTTATAAAGGGATGGCCAGACCGATGCGGTGGACATCCTTTGAAATAGCACCCCCCCCAGGTGGCAAGCCGCGCTCTCGTCCCGTGGAGGGGATTTAAGTAGAAAGCCGTTATTTCTTGTATAGAAACCGAAGGGAGGTATGAGATAGAAACCGAGACGTATTACTGCATGATTAGGAGAGTAGCAAAGTGGATGTGCACAGTCAAATTGAAATCAACGACAAGTCGTCAAATTCACACCCGCCGCTAAACGCCTTGACCTGGCCAATCGCAAGCGCTGGTGTCGATTGTCCTGGCATAACCACGGGGTGTCGGTGCTTGTACACATGTTTTTCCCTGCGAAGTACTATGAAAATGCTACTGCGGTATCTGCTTGCCTGTACAGTGCTGAGCTCGTCCGCTGCCTGGGCGTCCTACCTGCCTAGCGAGAGTCAGGCAGTCCTCGGTTTCGATGTAGCAAACGTAGCCCCAGAAGAGGGTCTCCTCAAGTCTTTTGCGATCGAGTTTGCGAAAGGATGGGGCGTTGAAGATGTATTAGAGGCTGCAGAGGTGCGCGAATAACCTCGACGAATCTGAGCGTACGCTAAGAGTACGTGCGTGTATGCTTTCAGGCAGCAGGCGCGGACGTCTGGCGAGTCAGCCAGTCTCAAGTCGACGTATACTTCCCGACCGAGGAGATCTACTCCCTCTCCCGCTTCAACGGCTCTGATCTCGCGCAGCGGACGTCACGGATTCCGGGGTCTGCACTGGTCCCGCGCGTCGCCCGCGCGCCGTCGTCCTCGTGGAATCTGACGTCGTTGTCGAATACGACGTTCCACGCGGACTACCATCCGCTGCATGAGATCGAGGAGTTTGTCGAGGCGCTCGCCGCGCTACATCCGGAAGTAGTGCAACTTGTGAACATCGGCCACTCGGCGGAGGGAAGGGAGATGTTTGCGATGCGGCTGTCAAAGAACACGGGGAAGAAGGCGAAGGCGAAGGCGGGGTTTGTTATCACTGGGGCGCAACATGCACGCGAGGTACGTTGATTTGTTGATATGGATTGGGTATGGCATCTCGAAGAGGTGCCTAGCATGGAGCATGCATTGGTCCTGGCATATGTGAAATCGGCAGATTTCAGCTCTATTGCAGGTGCATTGATCTTTTCGTATCGTCATCGTACGGGCATGGAATTTTGCAGCTTGCAATGGCACATTGATGGTGGTCGTGTGACCTCTTTGTATAGAGTCACAGAGTACTCTGTGCCATTCATATGATACTGACAATATCGACTAGTGGGTGGCAACATCTACCGTGCTGTATTTGATACATGCTCTCGTTGCGAGTGCTTCTGAGCCCTATGCAATGTCGACACTGTTGGATTACTATGTGAGTTTCATGCAGCTTTTTCTAGCATACATGTGTACTGAGGATGGCGAAGGATTTTCACATCATCCCTGTCCCCAATCCTGATGGTTATGTCTACACCTGGGAACACGACAGGCTCTGGTGTGTAGTTGATGTTTCAGTGTGACGCCCTTTTCAATTTGGAGCCTAGGTATAAGAATCGGCAGATTCTGGGCCCGAGTGAGAAGTGTGTGGGAGTGGATATGAATAGGTTCGCATCAAGATTTTTGATCTTACGTTTGATTTTCGCTCAAATTTTGCAGAAATTGGGTATGTATGTCAGGGTCATCGTTTTGACTAGCGTTCTTCGCCAATGCCTCGTAACGTTCACTCTATATTGCGGCAGGGATACAAGTGGAAGGCAAAAGCACGCTTCCCAGAATTCGAATTAGAGAACAAGCCCTCGCTGCCCACTGACCCATGCACGCCATGGTATCCTGGCCACCGCCCGTTCGAATCGCCAGAAACAAACAACATCGCGAACTACGTCACCACTCTCCCTGCGCTCAAGACGTATATCGATCTGCGAGCATACGGGCAAATGCGTACGTACTGTTGTGCCCACAAGTTGCGGTCGACCCTGACTTGTTTTGTATCAAAGTATCAACCCCTTGGGCGTACTCATGCAAGAAGACTACAAAAGATGCAGAAGACCAGATTGAGGCCGCCCATGGTGCTGCACGGGCGATCAAGCAAGCTCACGGCAAAACATTCACTGTATGTGCCCTTTCAAAATGAACGTAATCGCTTTCGACCTGAGGTTGCACCCATTGCAGGCTGGTACCCTCTGCTCGATGACGTATAAGTGAGCATTTACCCTTCGGCCTAATTTTGAATCAATCACGCTAGATGTTCTTCGCAGAGCTCCTGGAAATGTCGTAGACTGGATGTATGCGAAAGCGGGGATCAAATTTGCGTATGCTGTTCATTTAAGGGACACTGGAACTGTGAGCAGGTTGCTGGATCCTTGTCGCGCTCTATGCTAATCTAAAGCACTGGGTTCTCCAGTACGGGTTCTCCCTCCCATCTGAATGGATTCGGCCTGTGGGCGAGGAGACCGTCAACATGATTGCATTTTTAGCAGAGTTTATTAGAATGGGGAAGTACTGTGAGTCGCCCCCCCTTCGCCGGTTTACGTTGTTCGTCATCTCGTCTGACGTTCGTCGTACAGAATATGATTCATTGGATTCGTCTTGCGCTGAGTTTCACTGAACGTTGATGGACGTTGTCGGTATCATGTGTTCCTGTTTTCGAGTACCCTGCTGGTATATGCAGGAATTCAGCTGCTGACTCCGTTTCTCACTTGGATACTTCGTAAATTACCTGTGGACCTAAGCATTATCGGACACGACCCAAGCAAAATACCACAACCTCTGGATCATATTTACAAAGTGTGGGCCGGGTTCTGACATTGTGCATACCGTGGTAGCTTGTGACTCAGCTGGGCTCATTATTGGCTCCTGGCGCCAGCATGTTTAATGCCGAACTGGGCATGTCTTCATAGGCCAGTACTATTCTGATTTCGTGCCCTCCGAAACAGTTGACTGCCCCTGTGGGGAATATATACAGACACGACCACATGTACCACAAGATTGCTCAAGATACAGCCAACACAAACATATACTCGTAGCGGCGAGCAGAACGGCTGACCTACCAACGACTTTGGGAACGGAAGCGGAAGCAGAGAGGCACTGAGGAGGTTCCTGACGGAATCTGGAGCATTCACGAAAACAGGAGAGAAGCCGAAGAAGACGGACATTAGGTGGGAGGACGAACCTGGGCAAGAGGAGGGAGAAGACGACGAGGCTGAGGAGGAGGAAGGTGGAGGGGGGTAAACAGGACGCAAGACCATGGAGTGAGACGGATACTCGACAGCGAATCGAGACAGAACCCAGCCCAGTCGAAGCCGATGCACATCGAACCTGAACGTCAGACGACATACACCGGACCTACCGACATCAACACCATATACCAATCATTCCCCCAGGCACTCACCATACACACCACTTTTACCCATTTCCCGACTCTCGAACGGCGTACCACCCGCACCGCGGAGCCCGCCACGAAACACGAGATCGCACCAACTGATTTACACCTACTCCTTACCCCGTCATAACCTATCGTCACTCAGAGCCTCGATTAAGATAGGCCAGTCATATTAGTTACTAGTAGCTTGTACGGACCGGTTGTCACCGCGTCTTAGCACTCGGTTTGCTTATTGCGGTAGGTTGCGGTATATAAGTGCAGATTTCTTTATCGTCATCATCCTGGCACCAGCATACACTTGATACACTTATATATCATTGAATAATAACCTTCGATAGCTCAGTTGGAAGAGCGCAAGACTGTAATGGATAAATAATTACGTAATCTTGATGTCGCTGGTTCGATCCCGGCTCGAAGGAGATCTTTTTCTTGCTCCAAGTCCGTGTCACGTGCTGAAAGCGATCAAATATAGTATAGATCAGGCCCCGTTGCATATAGACGTTCGCACTCTCTTTCGGTCTTCTGACATATTTTTGGCTCTATTTGTATAATTTTCGCGCTTACTTGGAATGTGATGGTCCCTCTCTGTCGTTGAAGTCTGAATTTGAATGGTTCTCGGCTGTGCGGACTGTTTCATGCGAGGCAATCTCGTGCAATCTTGCAAGTGTCCGAAGGTTTTGGAAAGAGATACAGCTCTGAAGCCAGTCGAAAGGAGCCGCGATTACGACACACTGATGACTGTTTTAAAACTTAGTATATACACCATCTTCCATTAGCAACGGACCCACGTACAATGCTGTCTGTCGACTTTGCAGCAAGTCAGCGCTCCCGAACAGGGACATCTGGAAGACCTCCGATACACTTGCAACTTTCTTCCTGCGCGACGGCGCACCTCCCCATCCGTGGGGGGTCATACAGTTATATGTCGCGATCGCGCGAGTATAACACACAAGGCGTACAGAGGTCGTAGTAACACGCACCGACGCTTATACGGATACACTGAAACGGAAGGCTATGGTAACGGTATTAGACTCCAAAGCTCACCGCTGATCATGAGACCTGAGGATCACATGAGACTCGGTTGTACCTCCTATATTACGTAAACGCCTCTTTGCTCTCACTCCCAGAACCAAATTATCCCTTCGGGTCATTCGGAATTTGCACCATTAGCTACCCTAAATATCTGCCAAATAGTTTGTTTCATAATATCAGCAAACATCATATCTGCCCCGGACTTACACTGGACCACCAAATATGTATGCAGGTATGTTCCAGCCGGGCAGATGTTGTGCAGGAGCGGTATCAGAAGGTAAGTTTTGTAACGTCCCCGTTTCCACGGATGCTTACGGTCTTCTCAACGTTTCGCAGGCCCTGGATGAACCCATGTTCTCGTATTGCATCTGTCTGAACAGAGATATCTGTCAGATCAAGGCCGAAGTGGTGCCACAAGTTTGCATGCATGAGAAAGACGGAACTCCTGAACACACCCACACGGTCCGATTCACATCACCCGGAACCTGTACGCGTAGATGGCTGCAGTCTTCCGGAGATGACTTTACCGGCTGTGCGCTATAGCTATTCACAAAGGTAAGTGTCAACGATGTTAAATCAATGCGCTTAGGTTATCGTCGAGCCCACATCCTAGGCTTTCACAGCGCCGCGCTCCTGCGGCGGGAAACACAGACGGAGCTTCAAGCAGACTGGCAGATGTGGCGCTCACCGTTGCTCACCGATCCATTCGGGGTAATGTTTTGCGCATGCACCAATCGCAGCTCCGAATAGCATATGGCACATTGCTGGCATGATGTATGTACGTGTGATTCATGATTTGGCTTCTGAAAGTGATCACGGCCCGGTCGCATGATAAACAGTCCAGTCTTCCGTACATTTTGATATAATGCTATGCAAGAGATCTTGTAATGATGGATTCGCGTGCCAGACAGCCCTGATATCCTCAGTCATCACGCCCTGGCTCCAACGTGCAGAAAAGAAGCGGCGCCTGTAGGCTACTCGCCCCACTCCCCTCCCAAATCACCGAGCCTTATGCTGCTCTTGGAGAAATACACAAATCGATAACAAATAACATGTCGCAAGGTTCGAATGCTTCAGAGTTGTTTGACCTCGTAGAGTTGAAGTCAGTTCCTTCCACATTAATTTTCTACCTACTGAAGATGGCTTCGGCCAATCTATGTAGCAGTGTCGCCTACTTTTGTCAAATCGCACTAGCAGGCGAGCAGTAGTTCTTCTCTACATTCTTTTCTGCTTACACCCACACTTGTGTTTTTTTTGCAGCCCTTGTCTTCTACGAATTCTTTCTGACGCTAGATCGAGAGATTCAGTCTATATGGAGTTGCCGATCCAGGAGCGTTATATGGACTTTCTACACAAACCGTGTATCTATGCTGGCTTTGGGACTTGCCAACGTTCTGACCATTTTGCCCTGGAACACGACCAAGGTATGATTACGTATCATATCGAGAAGTACATTGCTGACGTGTGCGCCAAAGAGGTGGAGCGTTTCTTTTGCTTATACGGGGTCTCATTGATGGCCTTTGCGTTCAGCTGCCTCGACTCGAACATTTTCGCTGAAGTTTGTATTCTAGTATCCTACGGTATTTGGGCAGGTTTGTATCCGTCCACTAAATTACGGACTTGATCCTGCTCATCAGTCTAACAGTAATCTCTGCGCTGCGTGTGCACGCTGTCACGAATCGCGACTGGCGAGTATCTCTCTTCACTTTGTTGCTTGGTTTAGTTCCCGTTGGAACAAATCTGGTAGGCTCCCTTGTAGCCTGAACGCCTTCCATAAGCTTACTGACGATGGGTATAGTATGGGTATACCCAAACATTTGTCATCATAGCAACGGTCTCTTCGCTCACAATATGTCAAGCCAATGGAAACATTCCTGTCGCTCAAGGAAGAAGGTGAGCTGAATGGCCCCCATTAATTGGTCATCGAGGTAATCATGACCTAAACAGAGGTGAAATTACCCGGTTCCTCTTCAGCGCAAAATATCAATCAGCTGAATGACTTTGTTCCTCATCTAGTCGCAATCTCGACACACTGTTCTTTGATAGCCGTCGACATTGTTGTACTTCTATCCAGTTGGCTTTCCTTGTGCGATATTCGGCACCATTTACCCCAACAGACCAGGAGTCCACTCACAACTTTACTTCTGCGAAATGGTGCGACACGTCAATGCAATTCAAGAAGTGTGCAAACTAACCAATTTCGTGATCGATATCATCGCAGGAACCATTTACTTTGTGTATGATCTGATCTTACTGACATAGCACTGGTGCTCACTACAGCTCCAGATTCCTCTTAGTGTTGAACGTCATGCACATCATCGTCTACTGTCTTACAGTACGTATTGAACTTAATCCCATCAATCGTTCTCCCTGGTGATAAACTCCTTTGAAATTATCAGGAATATGACGAGGTCGCTGTCTTCATGATCCCGTGCGTTGATTCTTGTTGTTTCAAGCTCTCTGCTCACGACGCGTAAGGTATAGGCTCTCGTCAATCATGATATCTCGGTTCATGCTGGACCTTCGGGACGTTCGTCACACTAGCCCAAACATCCAAACCTCATCTGCTATCTATTCCCAGACTCACCGCTATTCTCTTTCTCACCTCTCGTCGATGGCTTTCGGATCCAACTCAGCGGGTATTCATGAAATCACAAGTGACGTCGCCCCGAGCTCTATCACACTGCACGATCTCAAACGCGATCATGGGAGCTTCTTTGATGTTCCAGGGGACGACAACTTGAATCTGCACGACGAAACCTACGTGGAAATAGAGATGAGAGTAGTATAGCATTCTTTTTCTCATATATTTCTTAATTCCTGGGCGGCGAGTATCAATAGTACTCTTGTTATGAAGTACACAGCTCGTCTCTGATAGTCTCTGCAGCCAGTGATGGAATGCGGTAGTCTGTAGTGTATTGCCCGGAAGTCCGCGAGTTGTCGACGTAACATAATTTTTCCTTTATGCGGGGTATACGGATGTCAATCGTAGCACAATATCATTATAAGGTGCTGCACAGATGTCACATCTACAAAAAGTCCTCATCTTCAGTAATGACGCGCTATGGACATGACGGCGGCTTCGTACTTGCGATCTCTCTCAACTTCTGAAACCGCCAAAAAGCAGAAGGCTGGGAGGACATCTATAGCAAGCGTGCTGCAAGACCGGGTGAGGTCATTCTAGGGTCGAACACTCATATTCACATTCAATTACCGTTGACAGCTGCGGTAAGGACAAATCGGCCGAATAAATCAGCTCAGCGCACTTGAATGTCTATCATTAATTGCAAGTCACATTTTACATCAATACAGGGTGCAAAACTTCCTACTACTTATCCTACCCGCCGTTGAGAACTTCAAATCAGATTTTCCCTAGCGTACACGCCTATGCAGAGAGCTTCTTGCGGAGGAGCTCCTTAAGAGTGGCACCATCTTCAGCGAACTTCTTGATACCCTCATGGAGCTTGTCAAACGCCATCTGGTCCTCAAGGAGCTCCCAACGGAACTCGGCTTCATTGTCAACGTAAGAGACCTTAGAAAAGGTCTGGCTGGCCGCGGCTGCAAGAGAGTCAGACGAGGATTCAAGATCTAACGAGATGAGACATACCTTTTTGTGAGTCGAGTTTCTTGGGGACAAGAGAGGTGTCGTTCTTGAGCTCCTCAAGGAGAGCAGGTGAGATGGTGAGGAAGTCAACACCAGCAAGCGATTTGATCTCGCCAGTCTGTCACATCAGCTCAAGTTAGCCAAGGCCACTAATCCTCTCTGAAAGGACGTACGTTACGGAAGGAGGCACCCATGACAATGGTCTTGTAACCATACTGCTTGTAGTAGTTGAAGATCTTCTGCACGGACTGCACACCAGGATCTTCATCGCCGGTATAGTCCTTTCCGGGCTTGTTCTTCTTGTACCAGTCCAGGATCTGACGACTTGCATTAGCGATATTCTCGATCTACAAACAAGCAACTTACACGACCAACGAAGGGTGAGATGAGGGTAACGCCCGCCTCGGCGCAAGCGACAGCTTGAGCAAATCCAAATAGGAGGGTAAGGTTACAGTGAATGCCGTCATCGCGTTCCAGTTCGCGGGCAGCCTGAATACCCTCCCACGTCGATGCAATTTTAATCAAAATGCGCTCCTTCTTAATACCAACGGACTCGTAAAGGGCAATGAGCTCCTTCGCCTTCGCCTTGGTGCCCTCCTTGTCGAAGGACAGACGAGCATCGACCTCGGTCGAGACACGGCCAGGGATGATAGCAAGGATCTCCTTCCCAAACTCAACCAGCTGCATGCACGATTAGCACGATCCCGAAAACGAGAAGAACATTCCTCACCAGTCGGTCCATGGCAGCATTGGTTTGTGCGTCGAGATCGCCGCCTTTGCTCTTACCCGCCTTCACGGCAGCGTCGATGAGACGCGCATACCCGGGCTTGTTCGCTGCAGCGAGAATCAACGATGGGTTGGTGGTAGCATCCTGCGGCTTGTACACGTCGATCGCTGCAACATCGATGTCAATCGCATATAGCGAGAACGATGAGCTCGACGGGCTACTCACACTCGAAATCGCCCGAGTCGGAGACAACGACAGTGCCAGTCTGCTTGAGGTAATCGAGGGAGGTGGTCATGACGGTAGCAGAGATGGTCGATGAGAGGAGAGTCGCGAGTGGTGACGAGGGGCTGAAATAAGCTGCTGGGAGCGAGCGCGGGCGCCTATATATGAACGTGACCTCATCGTTACGTCGGCTCGGCTCGGCCCGGAGTAGCTTCGCTCCCGCGTGTAACTCTGAACATCTCTCATCCGGTTGCACCGCTCGGTAATGAACAGGCCTGAGACTAGCTCTCCCTCTGTTGTCAATACCTGTAGTTGGTTCATGATTCATAAACCTGCATATTTCAGGAAGCATCACACTCGTCTTCCAATACTTCACACGTAACGCAATACAACATGGGAACTACCTGCCATTGTGGGACCCGAGCGAGTGGTGGAAACCCCGAGTGATGTGCCATTGGTCAAACATTTGGCGGATGTGTATTGAATGATGCAATAATCAGTCCTCGTCGGTCACTACCCCGCCGCCCACTGGCGGTCATGGTATCAGGTGAGAAAGACTGGACAAGATTCCCATCGGCCTGACGAACGTGCCCGCAGCTAGCGGAATCGGTGTGGTACATCCACACGCTAGCAGTCGGGAACACGATGTACCCAAGTAGAATGGTCAGTGAGGGTTCACATAATGATAGCTACGGGGCAACTCAGCAAGGCGGATCGTCGGGGGATTCACGAATGGTTAGGCAGTCAGATTTCGAACTTGACAGGGTCAAGATGTATATTCTCAGGTTTTATCGTAGTCAGGTTACTGTGCCTGGCTACGAACGTTGTTGAGCCTCAGCATGTCGAGGACTTGAACCTCACCCTTTACGGGCCTACATGTACGGCGTTCAGCGAAAAGCGGACAGATCTGTGGAAGCAACCGATCACAATTACTCAAGAAGTCAACATATTATAGACAGGTGCATTTCCACACACCTGTTGTGGAGTTGATCACGATCAAAGACTAGGCCGCTGAGCGATACTTGCTTATCGAAGAATACAACGTGTTGGCTGTCGTAAATTTAATAAATCATGCCTGAGCTTTCCGACTCTTGTAGGGTTCATGAATACAAGGTTGGACACACCGTACATCTTGTATGCATAGCCTTACCTGATGACAGAGATGAATACCTCCGCTCAAGCTTGAGGCTTCTGATAAGCATGGGCGCGCTAGTAGATAGGGAACAAGCGTGTCAATTACATGCTGCAGTATTAGACAGCTCGTCATAAATTATGGCGTTCTCCGCATGACTCACCAATCAAGTGGTTTTCTTCACGATAAGACAAGTACAACGACAGCCGAACAACGATGGATAACCGCATTCGTACACAGCATGTTTGCGAACCATCTTACAATATACCCGCGACGCACGGATCTCGCGTGTACGAGGAGGCAAGTAGAGTCAAATTGACAATAATTGTATCCCTAGACTGAGAGTGGGGTCCTATAACTCCGAAAGTCAACGGTGAGAACTAAGTTTTTGTAGACTTGAAGATGACGCAACGGTGCCCAGAAACATCCATATTGACTTCACGAATACGATAAAATTCTAGAATCCACTAATGGAACGAACAATGCAGAACTTGATAAAGAAGCCATGGTTTGGACACTCGGTTCCTCAGCTGACGCTGCTATATGGAGTAGACTGAGATGGGTCAATGATTCCTACATTCACCACGTACCGGCGTAGCATCTATCTAGATACCCGTTGAATTCGCCTGAGCGGGTGTTGACGTGATGATATATCAGCACTCGTCCGGCTGCGTGAATCTCAAGGGCGATGCTTCAAAACCTTTGGAGAACAATACTAAACATAGAACATCGGCGGTCTGTATGAGGCTGCATGTAAAAGGTGATGCACACTCACTTCTCTCGTCTCAATCTAGTGTCTAATTCTCGCCGGTACTTTGAAGTAAACTGCCTCTTGGGACCGCACGCTGTCTCAAGCCATGATATGCTGTACTTGGAACCGTATATGTTTAACAACACCGTTCAATATTCCCACCGCGGATTTCCCTCCTCGTTACCTAATGGAACAACGAAGTCCCGAGCCTAGCTCCCAAACCAGAGTCCAGTAGGGTAGGGAATGAAGAATTTGTCAGTCTGGATACAGCATTCGAGCGCATGTAGTCACCGCCACATGGGCGGCATTAGTATAGCGAGAGAATATCATACAATCCACTGTTCTATTGCGCCTATGGACAATGCCGGTACTGATACATGAGGTACAATTCAACACGACGGGGCGGATAGCTCACCGAGATGACTCGCCCGAAGGCAATACTTGCCTAAAATACGCGGGGCAACTATGTCATCAGCTTACGTTCAGAGCGCATCAACTTTTTGCATAACCTATCAACGCCTCCGAATCTTTGTTTGAGAAGCGCCCAGCGCCCAGACGGACCAGACAACCTTCCATCGCCGCTCACACATACCGCCGGGAGATAGCTCTCCGGCTGGCGCGCTCATGGAGCCGGACGTTGATAACACGGATCTGACCGGTGTGTGCTTGCGCCCATGACATCGGGTCTGCCTGCTGACCGTAAATCAGACGAACCTGAAAACCGTTCAAGTTGCCGAATGGAGACACGGAGAAGGCCAGTCATTCAACTTGAAGGGGTCGGGTAAATGCAGTACGAGATACGATCTGCGGGAATCGCTTTGGAGATGCTCATACGCGGCGATTTGGTACTGCATTGCATCGTCGTAATAAGTGGCTCGTTATGAGCCATAACGTTCTGTGGTGGTTTATGACTAGTAGTGTCTTTGCAATGGCCACAAGCTGCTACCGTATAAAACAGTCACTGGAAAGTAGTATTCAAGAAAAGGCTTTGTTATTTTTAAAAAATGGAATACATTCTTTTTGGCAGGACTCACCGAGAACTTCGGAGAATAGTATGGACTTCTCGATTTCGAAGGAGAAGGCGTTCGGAAGCGCAGTGCGCCATTCATACATCTGACTCAGAGTGAAAACGATACTGTCCTCAAATTACAGGGCTCCGGACTCACAGCTATACATCAAATCCACAGCCCTCGGCTAACACCTTAAATCTAGACGTGGCGTAGTCGCTACTGTCTGCAGTCTCGAGGACGAAAAAATCGTGTAGTTATATGTCAGAACACGGAGAGGCGGTATATAAGTTGACAAATGTTCAGTAAAAAGTCAAGGGATCGCAGAACACAAATTAAATACTCCGCTAAGAATGAAGTGAGGATCGGACATGATATGTGTACGTAGCGACCGCCGGAGGCAGATTCAGCGGCTACTCACTCAACTCGTGGTATCCAAAAAAGGCAAGTCGTCCTCTTTGCTGTGCCACGGTGTCGCGGCTCACGATCGCAGCTCGCGCCCGCTAAAAACATATTCAACAAATGTCCCCATGATATCAGATAGTTTTTATAACATGACTCGATTGCTTTGCTAATGATTTATTATGGTGTCGCGCAAATGACCCATAGGGACATTTGAGATTGACCAAAATACATGAGGTACGGGACCACCGGCGGCTTAGCTCGAAGGCTGTGGCTCACTGGGTTCTAATAGCCGCCTCAGGGATATCCGGAATCTCTCCCCCCGGTGCTCTATATTTCTCTTACGCCCCCCGGTGAATCCGCTGACGTATGTGAATGCTGTACATAGACACTACGCGTGGCGAGCCTGGGACCAAACCCATCCGCAATGGTACTTACATCCTAGTATAAAATCCGACACTTGGCAGCCAACAGAACCAGCGGCAGCAAGGTCCCAGTTTCACTATAAAAGGTAGACAATCGTGTTACTAGACGGCACGCCCTGATCTCACTCCTTCAAAAGAATTGCCCGGGAGGCAGACCTCAGCGATGTCCCAACCCGTAATCACCTTGTATGACGTCCCGTCCACCATCCCCCAACCTTGGGCCCCTAATATCTGGCGCATACGGTGTGTTTGTCTGTTATGATTTAAAGCCCGGGCTCATACGACGCCTTGTTCAGCTTTATTCTCAACTACAAGCGACTCCATTACCGTACGGTCTGGGTCGACTTTTCTGAAGTCGAAGCCACCCTACGCTCAATTAATGCCCCTCCAACATCCGTCAGAAGCGACGGTCGCCCTGTGTATTCTCTGCCAGTCGTATTAGACCCCTTAAGATCAAGGAGTTCCCCTGTCATTTTGTCCAACGCAAACGCCATCGCCGAATATCTAGAAGTCACATACCCTGCACGGCCAATATTTCCTGAAGGCTCCCGCGCCGTTCAATCCCTCTTCGTTCACTATGTCCAAGAAAACTTTGCTAAGCCTCTGCTCCCCATCCTCGTTCCACTAACCCACCAAACGCTGCCTGAGCGTAGTCAGGCTCATTTTCGTGCCGCTGGAGCAGCTCCCTCTCAGAGGACCCTAAGTGGACCGCAGAAAGAGCAGGCCTGGCGTGTAGTGAAGGAACAATTCGATTTTCTCGCGGCTATACTGGATAAAAACGCCGGCAGCGATGGCAATGGCGTCGTCGCCATGGGTCACGACGTCAGCTATGCAGATTTTTCCATTTGTTCTGTTCTGTAAGCGCACGTCTTTGTGCATGATAGTCTGGAGATAACCACTTCACCTATTAACCAGAATTTGGATTGAGCGGGTCTCTCCACATGATGGCTGGGCGAGAGTTCGACAGTGGAACAATGAACGTTGGGTTAGGCTCTGGGAAAGGTGCCAGGAATACATGGATGCTTTCTGACGGGATCAGATTGGGTGTCTAATTGACATATTACATACTGTAGCGCTAGAAGCCGTCATGACTCGCACCTCGCTAATTCTGCTGTTGCGCCCAGTCTTGGGCGCCGCTTTCCCTCGCTTTACTTACATGGCTGTATTAACGTAGCGATTTAGACGTCACTAAACATAGGTCATATCTCTCTGCTCAGTCTCTGTTCAAGACACAGTAACCAATAGTTCTCAGTGGCATCGCTTTGCCATTTTATGGAGATACGGCATTTGTGAACCGGGCGGAAGATCTGGAAAAGATTTTCTCAAAATCATCAGATAGGTGTGGGCGCTGGCATGATGAATTTCCGCGGCTAGCTTCGTTCATTGCGCAGCTAGGCACACGTACCAGTCATGCTACCTCATTCAAGTTCTTGAAAGTCTGAGTCATCGGCAAATATCTCTGAATGCCCCGTTATATTCTGTATATCTGACATGACGTGTTTTCATTTCAGCTGGTAATCCCTCCCCCTATCCTAGTGTCGAGGGAGTCGAGATTCGGCGGAAGATCGTTATTCCACCAAGCTTCTGGTGTGGCATTCTTCTGTTAGTGAGCAGGTTACCACCGGGTTCAGCGATTCAACAACCTCGGAAATTGAATGAGATAAAACGCCTTCCCATAAAGCTGAGCAATATCTTGTTGAGGGGCCGTGAGGCTCATCTGCAACTTCGGTAAGCCTGGATGTGTCGACTATAGCAAACGGCAGGCTGATTACGCCGCAAGAGGAAATTGAGACATGGGTTTTACAGTTTCTTTAAGAATTAATTTTAAAGCACCTAGTATAGGGCTCCAGCAGTAGCTTGAAGCCAAGCTACAGACTCAGCGAATGACTGATCTTCTAGCGGAGAGGTCCAAATGGATATAGGTGTTAGGAAATTCTGCATCGAATACCGTGAGCGATCTTCGGTTGCGAACTGACAACACGAGTGATGGTCTCATACACGCGTGCCGCCTTCCAGCGCCCAAGTGTCTCGCAGAACCTTCAGCCTTGTACACGGGCGCTCGCTCTAACTCACTCCGCTTGAGTTTGCTGCCAGCAGGCAGCTGCCCCCGCGCATAGGCTGTCCATATACACTATCCGATGCATCGCAGGCAAGATGGATATATGGGCTGTAACAACACGGCACAAACACCAGTTTGACCAGAGGAGAGTCATGACAGCAACTAATCAAAAAGGACAAATCAATTGATTTCTGCGGTGAAAAGGGAAGCTAAGCCCACGACACAAGAGTATGAGGGAATTTAAAGGCTTTTTAGGTGGGACTCGAGAGCATTCGTGTAAAATTGGACCAAGAGTTGCAAGACGCACGTAGAAGGTATCGGTGTCCCTCCGCTAAACAAATCGGATCTACGCGGCCTTGGAACATATATGGACACTACCGCTCTGTTTAAAGGTATTGAAGTTATCTCAGCCCAACCGTTCGTAGTACGACTATCAACTGAAATTTGATCAATACAACATGTGACACTGGAACTCGTACAGCACAAAAGTGGATGCAGACACCTAACACAGAAGTCCTGCCGAGTCATCCGTGCGAATACGTCCTAGACAGTGAAGCTTGAAGATCAGCATCGATAATTCCAGTCATCCATTGATCGACTGTATCTCGGTGTAGAATTTGCGGGGAAGGCTAGCTGCACGCCATGTGAACTATTTATATACCGAAGAATGCAGCACTTACTCGCAGTTCATTAGCGAACTTGATGGTTCTTGACACCACAACTATCAGGGCCAAAAAATTCATAGTGACGCGCCAATCGGACCTAGATACCAATCGCATGACAGATTGGCTGCACAATCGAAGTATTTATTAATGAGTAGGAAAGCGGCGGGTGCTGAAGGAAGAACATCGGTCCTTTGTCACATTTACGGGTACAGCAAAACCTCGATCTGCACGACGTAGGCGGTCAACGTTACATCACGGACGAGACGAGTGTGTGAGTCAGACGATTGATATACGCATCGAGAGGTGATGGACGGTAAGGGGACCTGCTGATATATTTGAATCGCTGAGGGCCCTATGGGTATCTTCCACATAGCATTACTGACTGTTCTCAATCGTCTCGAAACGCAATAAGCGTCGACAGAGTGTGGGGCGTATACTAGTCATGTATAGGGACCTGAAACAAGCCTCCGGTATCCATCTCAAACATCCGGTACTGGCAAAGGTTCAAGAGGCTTCAGGTTCAGTTAAGGCGCCAAACACGTCAAGTCGAAAAAGACCGCAAATAGTAAGATTTTGGAACTGGTGACTAGCTGCGCCGCAAGACTGGCCTTGCATAGAGTACCCAGATGTAAAGCAACGCGGAGACATCCGAGGGGACAAGCAATGAATATGTAGGTGTTGCAAATGCTCAACCCCATGCTGCTGTGGTACTGCAAAGACGACAGACAAGATAAGCCGAGGGATACGTTTGATGGTGCATGAAGACCTTACCTGTAGTTCACTATCAGATGTCCATCCGTCGCAAACGACTGCGTGGAACCCGTTAGCGCGTACCACGATACTAAGAAAACTACCTACTTTGAACAAATTCGAGACAGTGTCGTCTGGAGCAGGGGAGAAGGCGAGATTGATGTAGGTGAACTTGGCGAATTAAAACATGCGGATATGGTATGGAATGCCCTAATGAATTTGAGTGCGAAACTCACCAGAGGGTCCCCAGCCTTCCAGCCCAGCTCCCTCCTCAGAAACTGTATCACAGCCTGAAATCTGTTCGACGCGGTGATCCTGTAGAAGTTCTGTTTCATAATGGGTGCACTTCCGACAGCCTTGAATCGCACTACCACTTTCATTGAATCGAAATGGTCATTGTCAAGACGGGAGATGCCTCAGGTATACTGGGCGACGAAATACCTTTGACGGGATCTTTCTTGCTGTATGTCTCAAGAGCTTCATGGGCTTCGTGCATGCTTTCCACAATACTGTGCGTGGTCCATATTGAAGGTAGGCTGTGGGAAGTCCCTAAGCTTAAGCATACACGCCATGAGCTTCCCAGGCAGAGGCGGGGAAGCAGCCATCGCTTAGCGCCTGCCCTCTTCCGATTGAAGTCATCCGGCGCTTTGACGAGCTTGCAATTGGCCTCCCAACATAAGTGTACGCTCCCGCATCTCATTACTTCGCATGTCAACGAAAATCTATGTTCGGCGTGGCATAGATCCGCTGCGCCCGCCGGCGGTCTTGTCGAGGTGTATTTAGTGACTATGAAGATCCTGAGGATTCTTCAAGTTTCCTGTTCAATTCGAAGACTTTGGAAGACCGAAGCTTGAAAATTCATTCGCGCTGCTGCTCACTTTTGGCTGCCATTTGAATATGCCTGAGAATACCTAGTCCCAAGTATCTTGGCCTAGTCTTCAGCTTCAGCTTCAACCTCCGCAAGAATCCCTGGGCGTGCATGTGGGCAGGACATGAATAGAAAACTTGGAATGTGCTACACAAAAAACTGAGTTTGTACTGGCAGTGCATTCACAGGTAAGAGCAGTCCGGCTGATACGTAGACTCTCGGTTTTGTCTTAAGCTTGTTTATCCTCTTATTACTGAACCCTCAGCATTCTCCGTATAATGGGCCTCTGTAAGCCATTCAGCAAATCCATTTCGCGGAACCTTATGCTATAGAAATGACGTCTTCTGTTCACCCCTCGACCTACGAAGTCTATGGTCTCACCGAGGAGGGCGATCCGCTCACGTAGACATTTCCGACCAGTACCTCCAGCCTGGTGAAGATGCTGTGAAAACGCTCGCTTGTGGTACGTCTTCTTAATAATACAATCGAGCCAGCTGTCTGCTCATTCTGACAGCGATGAGGTCCCGAGGTCTCGAGTGCTTTCACTTACAAATCCGGTACCCTCTCATGCCTGGCGACGAGATTGTTGCTCTTCTGCTCACTGAGAATAAGGAGAATGTCGGCTATCGCGTCGGTAGCGGTTGGCACGGCTGTTGCTGCAGTACATGTGATCACTGCCGTGCTGACGATTTTATGAATCCCACTGAGGTCTTACACCATTGCTTTGCGCGGCCACCACAACATTCAGTACGTTCTAACAGTGTTATGTCTTAGTACTTCGCTAGTATCTTATATTTTCAGACTCATGGCGCAGCACTATGTCACCATTAAGGGAATCAGGTATCGAGCGCGCCCTCTGTATCGTACCGTGACTGACGCAGCGCTTTTTAGCGCGCGGTCTGGGTCACTTTGACATCTAAAGCTACGGGATTCCTGTATATTAAGATAAGAATGGATTGCATTCTTGCCTAATTATAGTCAGCAACGGAGATTATGGGCTTCCGTGCGATTACACCCCAGCGAAGCGCGACCTTAAGCTGTCATTCGGTAGAGACTTATATCTCAACCAGAGCCGCAGAACAAGCGGAGAACGAGCTGGACGCCTCTTCGTATGGGATTTTGAAGCATAGCTTCCCAAACTCCCAACCTAATATGGCTGGTATGTTTTCGTTATAGGATATCACGAAATGCTCAACAGAAGCACGACATACTCCCTTTTACTGGCACAATATTCGGCCAGAATCATGCTGATTGGCACATGCACCCAATTCTGTGAGCTCAAACTCAAACCGACTACGTCATCTGAGACCGCAGATTGTATGCTGTCAGTGACAAGGTCAGCGGGTGAGCCTCTTTGTCATATCTTCCAGACTTAGACCTCATCTACTTTTACTTGCGTCACGCTGGTATTTCATGATAGCACATGCTCGATGTGGTCGATTCTTCACAGCACAGCTGAGAACGTGGGGTTTGTCTACATCGAAGCTTTGAATACTGATTAGGTAATTGGTAATCTCTGCGGCTTTGTCCCAACAGCTGAGATGTAGAGTTTGTCCTAGATTCCTATGTCCTATCACGAGCTGCTTCCATTGCTTAAGGCGACTCCGATAAGGTGAACAAATCAAGCTTGATGTCCGATGTCTGAAGAATTCATTCGGAAAACCAGATCATCATTCCACAAAATCCCCACACCGTCTAAATGTTAACGCAGGGGATTGTGTTGGAATGTGAAGCGGGGCTTAGGAGTTACCACTCGATCAAGAGACAGGAACACTCGGTCCTATCTATTGGATCATAGTTGGGTACCATCTCGTTTCTCATGTTCTCGCTTCTCACCAAGAGATCTTGTGATATCATCTATGGGCGTCCATCGGCAAATATCCGATGTGTACAAGCTATATATACGAGACTCCCTGAAGCGTTGCCGTCCATATCCACCTAGATCTTTGTAACGACGTTTCTCGCGGGCATGTCCAACTTTACCCCTCCGAGCACGTACAAGGCTTATGCATTCACGGAGAAGGGTGGTTCGCTCAAGCAGCTCACCTTTGATTGGAAAGATCCTCAGCTCGGTGAGATCGTCGTGAAGGTCCTCGCCTGTGGCGTTTGTGGAAGGCGTGTGATATATCCTATAAGTCTGCTTTAGTCCCTACTCACCGGAGTCCGGTCGCCTACAGCGATGAGGTCGTAAAGCATCAATCGATGCCGCAAGTCAAGTATCCCCTCGTCCCCGGACACGAAATCATTGGTGACGTCGTCGCGATCCCGTCGACGGAGCAGCATTGGAAACTCGGTCAGCGTGTAGGCGGCGGTTGGCATGGTGGTCATTGTGGCGTGTGCAATCGCTGCAGAGTCGGCGATTTCATTACCTGTGACAAAGAAGACATCAATGGTTCGTTTATGTACTACAGTAATTTCGCTGCAACATACATACTTACGATACTCTATATTATTCCAGGAATTGCGAGGCATGGCGGGTATGCCGAATTCGTTACCCTTCGTACTGAGGCTGTCGTTGGCATTCCGGGAGATATGGATCCCGCCGAAGTTGCACCCCTGCTCTGTGCTGGTGTAACTACTTTCAGTGAGCATTCACTGTGATTTTTGTGCTCTGGTTCTCAGTTCGCCCAAGTTTCGCTCCGCAACATGAACTGCAAGCCCCCAGATATCGTTGCCATCCAGGGCATTGGGTATGTCCGCCGCATCCTTTATAAATGACGATTCTAATCGTCGCGCTATCTCATAGTGGTCTCGGTCACCTCGGAGTCCAATTTGCAAAGGCCATGGGGTATCGCACCATCGCACTATCGTCTTCGCAAGCCAAGCGCGACTTGGCACTCTCCCTCGGGGCGCACTTCTATATCGCAGGTAGTCCCGAGGAGCAGGCGGCGGCCCTGCAGGAGTTTGGAGGCGCCAAAGTCATCATGACTACAGCTCCAGATTCACAGAGCGTCCAGACGCTCATATCAGGACTCGGCATAGAAGGGGAGCTGTTAGTCCTCGGGCTTGCGGGACAAATCTCCTTCGACTCAGGTAAGTGATCGTCTTCTTCCACACCAAGATATGGTCTGTGATGCCTTCGCAGTGTCCATGATTATCAAACGCCATTCAGTACGTGGCTGGCCCAGCGGAATTCCAACAGATATCGAGGCGTGTGTGCTATTCGCAAAGACACACGGGATCAAGACTATGGTGGAAATCTTCTCACTCGATCAGGCTAATGAAGCGTACGAACGTTGCGGCTCTGCGCAATTCAGAGCTGTAATAGTCCCGTAGGCACTGTGACGGACGTTTGATACTAGAAGTAGACCAGCGTGCTGTATATAAGCTCAAGCATAGCGAGGCTATAATTGTTTTGAAGAAAGTAACAATAAATATGGGAACCTTGTATGCCTCAGTGGGAGTGGACTCGATCACGAAGAGCGTAAGACTCACTGGACCTCGCGGCTAGGGCACTGTTTCCTGGACTCGCTTGTGTCAAGTGGGGCTTATTTAAATGAAACATCTGGAATATCTGACTTCAGATATGAAAATCTCACATCTAGCACAGTCGTTTGAAGGACGTGAGAGCCATAATTCGGCTTTTGAGGCATAGAAATTGAAAGGGAGGGGGCATTTTCCGGCTTGTATGAAGAATATTGATATAGGCTCATATGCCCAACTGCGCGTATCCACTCGGCGACTCCCTGGAACAAGACACATCGAAGATCTACGGCTATATCATGCAACTTTACCGTGATCCTTAGTGAGGGCATCATCATAGCAAGTTGTCTCAATGGAATGCGCAGGTCAGAGGTACCTTCGATAGCTTAGCCGCTGTAACGAACCATTACGATACACAATTTACAGACTCGAAGCTCAGAGACGGATAATGTAAGTAAACCCGTCCCAACCCTTCTCCCCAACGGTCGCGATAGTGGTCGCATCTACGTCACTGTCCGTCTTCAAGTGTCCAATGAACTTGCGAACGCCTTCGACATTGGCGTCAGAGTAGGACGGATCAGCAACGCGGCCCTGACGGACGACGTTGTCAACGATCTACGGATGTTGTCAATATTGGATGTTAAAGGATGAAAACAGAATTTATGCACGATAACACCCCCTTTCTTGACGAGACGCTTAGCCTCTAGGAAATACGTTAAGTTTCCGGGCTTGTCTGCGTCGATAAAAATGAAGTCGAAGAACGGCTCTGGCTGGAGCTTCTTGATGGACTCGGCAGCTGGTCCGACAATTATTTCAACTTTATTAGTTAATCCAGCATATGCGATATTGCCGCGCGCAACCTAAGTAGTTAGTCGCCGGTTTTGGAGATAAGTAAATAGCTCACTTCGGCGTGCTTGGGGGAGAGCTCCAGAGTAATAAGCTTCCCATCTTCGGGGAGAGCGCGGGCGAGCCAGATTGTGGAGTATCTAGATGATGGGCGGTTAGTCTGGGTGGTCCGATACTGGAAGAATGTCAACAAAATAAATACTGACCCTCCAAGAGTCCCGACCTCAAGGATATTCTTCGCGCCGATAGACCGAACGAGCAGGTTCAGATACTTTCCCTGTGCGACGCTGACGGCGATGGCAGGCAAACCGTTGTCTGCGCTGGTCTTCTGAGCGTGTGCAAGAGCATCGTCGTCAGAGATGAGGAAGGAATTATGATAAACGTCGGAGCGAGTCCAGTCTTCAATAGAGGCCATGCTTGTAGTTGAGAAACGGGGTGATGAGAACTTTATCAGGAGTCTCAAGGTTGAAGGGAGTGGATGAAACCCCTGCGTGCTTACCTGGGGTTTTTATAGATACCTAAGGCGAACCTAGGGGCACTGATTTGCGATATGCCGGGCGGCGTAAGCTTACCAGAGCATGATCTTACGCCAGCTCTCTCAATTGTCGTTGTCTTGTCGTCCTCTGAGTAGTAGTCTGCTGCTAGCCTGCTGCCTACGTCAGACGATAAGACAGATTGCAGAGAATGGTGTCGGAATTGTGCACCCGTGAATGCGGAGGAAGCGCACGCTGAGAGTGATCAATTTTATCTGATACGCGATTTGGACTGCGGCTTAGGTCCAAACATCCAAGAGATAATCACTCAGCATACTACCCCTCCCAGGCTCGTGGACAGCCCGACAAAGTCAAAGTTCGAGCAGAGTCGTCAGCAACACCCTCAACCCGAACTTACACTAGCGAATGGAAACGTATACTGCTCTCTTTCAGGCTGGCAGTGGGGGAGGATAGCGAGCAGAAAGGCTTGGCAAGCCTGATTACGATATCATACAATGTGCGTTCTGTATATGTCTTTTGAAACCTTCATATGTGAAGGCTTTCTACAACGCCATACTCATGTTCTCGGTCCTCACGTTCCATCCATATTGCGGGAACCCTGGAGCTGATTGATTGCTACCCTCCCATCCAGCAGCCATCATCGCTATTGCATATAACAGCCCACCTGAACCAGGGAAATATGGCGTCGGAACTTGAGGCCCCCCAAGGGGCATTCCAACGTCGTCAAACTGGTAGAATGGATCAAGCAACCATTCGATGGCTTTCTCTTGGTCTCCAATTCGCGCAGCAGACATCGCAAGCATCGGGAAATCCCATCTACACGCACAAACTTCAACTGTTGAAGAATGGTAAATTACATTTGCACTTACCCCCACAAATTACTAATATTCCATGATGTCCAGACCATTTCTGCTGTGGATTTTGCAATGTCAATGCTGACGTTTGCCGTCTGCGGTAACCATCCATACAACCCAACCAGAGCAGGATGGCTGTTTGTGTACTCCGCTGTCGCCCAGAAATCGCTTTCTATGCCCTCGTAAACCACATAGAGCCCGTTGTCTATAGGCAACGGCGCCAAGTTTTCCCTTACTTCCGCCCATGCAGCCGGTGGTGTTTCTCCCAAGCGCTCCATCCATACTTGAGCCAAGGTCAAGCCCAAATTCCAATACGCAAGCTCAAAGGCCGGATTCCATGTTGCATTCGGGTTGGTATCTTCGCTCACGACGTATAATGGCGGAGACAAGTCATAGAATCCCGTCGTCGTGTTGTGCTTTGGGTAGACAGCCATCCATTCGGCTCCCTCGTACAACACATCCCGCCACTTGTCGAGCGTCTCTAGCGAGCCGGTTGCTCGGTACTCGTATTCTGCAAAGATGAATGGGTGCGGTTGCTGCCAAATCAACAGCTCATTTATTTCACCCGGCGCGGATCGTCCTGTGGGATCGGTCATCTTGGACCATCGTGCGCCGACTTTGTACCCTTCCTGTACTTGCGCTCGCTCAATGGAGGTGGTCAGGAAACGGGAATACACATCGAGCGAGCGTCCAAGGAGATCCCAGTTGTTCCAGAGTGCCCAATGGCAACTATGCCAGAAGAACATTTCCATGTGAAATTTGCCGTACTGTGCAGGACGTAAGCATTTATGCCAGACTTTATTGCGATACCCCTTCCACGTACCCAGCCATCATCTACTAGCCCCGACTAGAGGCAATTTGTTACCAGCCCTCAAAGCATGGATGTAGATACGCTTACCTCCTGAGGGGGTGTATACCCTGCCTCGTTCACCCTCATCAGATACCGCGACAAGACGATTCTCCGCTGTAACTCATCCGCCCGCGCATCGGCTGAGCCGCTGAAGACGTCGACGAAACCATTATTTGACCAATATTGCTCCCAAACTTGCGTGGATTCCGTCTCGATTTCGAGGATCGTTGGAATCGGCGCCATTTGTTGCAGAGAATATCCAACGCATATGGAGAAGGAAAGCATTTTCTCTGAAGGCAATAAGCTATATCTGTGCGTCGCCGGCGAATCGCGCGATATGTAGAAGCTGTCGCCTCCCCCGACGGAAGTGAAGATCGTTGTTGCAACTTGGGTATGATTAATTTGCGCAAGCACGTTCTGTCCTAGCCGCTCCCCTATTCGTAGAGCCGTAGTGTGATTCCTGGTGTCATTCCAGTACCCAACAAATGGCGCCTGAAACTTATCCGAACCATCGTTCCACGGAAAATCCAGGAATATTCCCAAACGACCTCGCTCCAGGAGACGTGACTTGACTGTGATTCCGACCGCGCTGCTACTTTGAGCTGCATGTGTTGATACCGCGACGTTCTCGCCCAGGACTACGAAGCTACTCGTAATGCTCCCGGTCCAGAGATCTAGCTCTTGGTGAATACCACTCAAGTCTTCTTCCGTCATGTTCCTCGTTTGACCATCCTCATCACGAAAGAGAAGGCCTATGCGACCTAAATTCACCCGGTTGGGATCAGCGATGAGCCACTGCTGTGGGGCCTCAGGGCCTCCGAATTCGTACTGTACACCATCCCATACGACACCACGGTAGTCTAGGATGTCTTCGAGTGTCTCACCAGGCGGGAGCGTATCGTTCTTCCAACCCCAGTCAGACATTGTTGCCCATGGTAGGAACGTTTGCAGCCCAGACGCGTCTTCCCCAAACGCGAAGAAGCCGTTACCGATCTGCATGGGCGTCGTGGGGCTTGAGGCATTCCGTACGGGATTGTACCTCGAGACGATGTCATGTCGCGGGATGGACTCAGTTCCGACGGCGCCACTGGCAGACGTTAGCCAAAGCAGGAGTGGCGAGGCCAGCTGTCGCGTTCTCATAGTGGTAGCGGGTCGCGGGATGTACATCTGACAGCGGACCTCTATGCATGGTTTATGTACGAGCCCCATTCACAAGTGCGCGCCTGACTGGTGGAAGAGCGATGGTAGTTGTTCAATCGGTCCGGGGATTGTCTTCACATGACATGGGATCCGGAAATTCACCAGATTCTCCGACCATGAAGCTTGAACCTGGTTCGCACTCCAATGCTTGACATGCGTGTTTGACCAGTTATGGTGCTATGGGATCCTCTTCGGTTTTGGATTTGATCATGTATCACCGGAATTGACTGACCGTATATTGTAATCTTTCCGCAATGCACGCGAGGTTGAGTTTCTATGAGCTTCTGTCACTCCACGTTTTCATAACCCAAGGATGCTGAATGTCCCAACGCGAGAGTGCGACAATAGGCACGTGTAATAATACATAAATTGAGAATTGAGAGGGGAAGATCTCTAAGAGCATTTATAGCGAGGGATTACATAGAGCTCAGACTCAAAGAACTTTAGAGCCCAGTGGGACTTTACGAATGTATTGGCATACAATGATCTCACAAATCAGACTGTCGTCCGTTGGGGGTCATGGGAATGGATATAGGACCCTATAAGCTACGGCTACACTGAGGAGTGTTACAAGCGAAAGTCCCAATCTATAATCTATAGCTGATGCAGCAACTTTGTGCCTAGCTGCTGACAATCTCGCTCCATCGAGTACATCTCTAGGTCGACGTCATCGTCGCGCAAATCAACTGTGGGCTCCTCGTGTTGGGCTCGCTGGGGCGTAAGAACAACGTCGGACGAGTAATGTGAATACTGGTACGGCGAGGAGCAGAAGGCGAGAGAATTGCGCGATGCAGAGTACCCTTTGAGATTCAAGACGAGCCGCGACCCTGCGATGTTGACCATTGCTAGAGCAAAGCTGGATAGTCGTTTAGCTTATGCTGACACGTTAAAGGCCAGTATGCTCACTATCGTGCGAGACCGATGAGAGAAGATGGTGCGAGAGCCCATACGCTACAACGTGTTGTCAACGCTCAGATATAGATGATCAAAGGAGACGTGACGTACAGAAGTGAGAATGAAGAGCAGACTTCAGTGGCGACAAGATCAGTGAAATGGTGAAGGGGAGGACGACCATGACATACCGGTGACAGCGACAAAGTACAACATGCCTAGGATACATATATCAGGTATGCGATGCGAGATATCCTGTCATTAACCCACCATCGCGATAGAGCAGAAGGGATAAGGTGGTGAAAGATCGACGTTTGTCTTGACGTATCATGGCTACGATTGTAAGTCCGAAAAGGAGCGTTTCGAAGATGACGCTAAGCCAGGCTCTTTGAAAGGGTCTATGCTAAGTCTTGCGCAATACACACACCTTGGTAACCAAGCAGTCCACAAATAAGAAGGGATCTGCAATGTGGGAGGTCAATGGCCAGTATGGGCCGCGAGCGGGAGCGCTGATCACGTACCGAGCTGACGCATTGATGATAGTACGGCTGCAGATCCACTGGGGGCGCTCCTCAGTCCCGCTAGTCAGCATACGAGAATGCAAGAATACGCACAAATAACGGGAATCAAAGACGCGGTGATAATCCCTGTTGAACTGACAACGTAGAGCAATCCTGAGATCCACAGAGTTCTTCGTATCCATGTAGTCCCTCCATGGAGAGCATAGAGCCTCCATGCAACAATGGCTGTCAATGATGTATAAGTTAGATCCCAGTGAACAAAGATTGCGATGCTCACTATGAATAGACATGAAAGATGCTATAGTCAGATAGCTTTGCAACGCAGTCCAGACCTTACAGAACTGTCCACAGACGGAATGAGATTGATTTAGTGTTTATTCTCGTGAAAACTTGCCCGTGCTATTGATGGACCGCTAGTGAGGCCCGTCCCCTCTGAATTTGGTCAACACTATAGCACTACATCTGACAAACATGCGTACAACGTACCATATATGTCGACGGCCAGCACGAGGGGACTAGAGAGGATGAGTAAACGCAAGATGGATGAACGCTAATAATATACGCACACAATGTAGCGATTCTGAGAATTAAAATATAATTTCAGGACACATGGTATCGGTAAATGAAATGGCGCAACACACCAGAAGGAAGATGATCGACACAAGCCCTTTCCGCGAGTTCCAAATATAATTCACCTGCATAACCAAACCTAGTCCAGCTCAAAAGCACAGCTCCGTATCGCAACCTCATACCTCGTCACTGAGCTGTTGAATTGATGGTGAGCATCCAATTGAAGGAACCATCAAAGACTCACAGTCAGGATGTGATCATAAATCAGGAGGGTAAAGCCTGCCACTGCAACCCAAATGCACCTTGTCAGCCATATACGTGAAATCTATCAATCCACGCACGCATCATTGCGCTGCAGAACCAAAACCCGTTCAACACGTATTCCGGAAAAGAGCAATGCAACGACTCACTAAACGGCGGCTCCATGGGCGGCGATTGTCTCCAGGGACTCGGACATGACGACACTGAGAGCGTCCACCAACGTCGTTCGCTACCCAGGCCAGAGGGCGGAACAGGAGGACATTCGGTGGGTTGTGCTAGCGCGCGCTGGCGCACATACTTATTGTCCCAGAAGCTCTGCTTATCTGGTCTGCGCTCCGGAATTTGAAGACACATGTCCCTGGCGCCCCATCATACTAGGCCTGCACATGGTGGTGGGATCTCCGCGATCGTGACATCTATGCGAGCCGGGTCCGGAGCTACAGACCTCGACTGCGTTGCTGTGCACCGCGGAGCCCGCCTCCCCTCAGGAAATGCGATGCGAGTTGCGTACAAGTCCCGCCCGGAGGTTGAGCCTGTGAGTTGGCCGGGCGGTACAGGACCAAACACTGCATAGGAAGCCACTGCGTTGCGTGTTCAGTCCACTCACAGCCCAGTGACTGGGTCTGGGTACTTACACAACAGACGGCATTTCCCCTACACTAGGCTAGAAGTAGCATAAAGTTGCCTTATGCGACGGTGGTCTATGTTGTTTCGAGAACGCGGAATTAAAAAGCCATCATCACGTGCGAGAGGCCAATGTCCGAATTGGAAGCACATCCATATTTAGCGCAGGAACGAGTGGCGAGAGAAGGCTCGGAAACAGATGTAAGCATGTACACTGTAGCATATCGCGGAGGCGAGTGAATGACCACCAGTATCGCGTTGGCGAGTGGTTGCATAGTATCCATCAGGACGAGAAGACAGCACTAAGGTTCTGATTTCTATTCACTGAACATTGCTGCTTCAAGTTGCCACCGGTAGATCGCCAGAGACAACAGATGAGGGAGAGGCTGGATCTTTGTTCGTCCTGTTTCGCAAAACTGAGCTACCAGACCAGACACAGCTGGATGAATGGAAGACGATTGGTCTACGTCTCACTCTCAGTAATTTTGGGCTTCATGTCCGTAGCCGTCGCCGTAGAGATGAGAATTTATGAGCGCGAGGACAGGAAATCAGCTGCATAAGCTCCATACTCAGGCGAATAGATCCAGATCGTGAGTGAACAAGCCATGCGCTGTACCGGAAAAAAATGATAGCATGTATATCCGGAACCAACATTCCTCCCAAGCCAGGTCCGGAGGGTTTGGCTCGTACTCACCGGTACCCGTTAGTGAACTCCTTGGAGCATAGCCACGCAGCGGTTCAGTCGTTGAGTTGTTTCATTCCGGAAAAATAAGTGGCGTGTCGGATATCAGAAGCAGAACACCGGAATCGAATTAACGGGACCTGAGCGCTGAGCAGTTGGTCGGTGTGTTCAAGCAGTCCTCGGCCTCGACGGTCGAAGATGAGGAAATGACTCGAGTGCAAACGGCCGGCCTGCGGTCGCGCGGGGAGCGGACGGACGATTACGGCAACGGCCATGGCGGGCAGCCCGAGCCCCTCTAGCCAGCCTTCAGCATGGACTACGCACGACGACGGGGCCAGTATGCGCGAAGCCCAGGAAGCCCTTGAGACATACAAGAAGAAAGATGCTGTAAAGGGTGCGCCCCTCGCCCTGTGCCTCCGATGTTGCTGGCTTAACGACCTCGAGCGCAGTGGTGGTGCGATTCAAAGCAGTAGGAAATGCCCCCATCATGAAGCAGAACTTCTACAAGATCACCGCATCGAACCGGTTCCAAGCCGTGATACAATTTTTGCGAAAGGAGTTGGGCTGGAAAGCTGGGGATCCACTGGTGAGCAATGGCTTCGCACTTAGGACAATGCTTTCCGTCGCGTGCTCACGCAGCTAGCCCAGTTCACCTATATCAACCTCGCCTTCTCCCCCGCTCCAGACGACACTGTCTCTAATTTGTTCAAGGTATGAAGGAGCTGCGTTGCCACGTCAGCTCGCGCTAATTTGTTCCACCCAGTCATTTGCGACGGACGGGCATCTAATAGTTAACTATAGGTGGGCTCTTCGCGTATACTACCATGGCTATCTTAACTGACCATCTTGTTGCAGTACTACTGCTGCTTGGGGCTGACTGCCGGCCGTGCTCCTGCTCCTTGTTTAATAATGATTCTTTTCCCTGGAGCCTACCCTCGGATCAACTTGCCACTACCTCAGTTGTGCATATGCATGCATTTTCTCCGCCACTACGATCGAGTTCCAAAAACGCGAATACTGCCTTTTTGAACGTGCTAAATTGACTTACTAACATTTTCAAGGACACCATCATTCATACATGAGATAGCATCGATCATCATCTTTGAGCTCCATAATCGCAAGTAACAAAGTTGTAGCAAAGTGTGTGCGCTCTCAAGGCAGTTTTATGTGTAGGCGGTTCTCATGCTATCCCGATCCATCCTTACGCCCCCGTTAACGCCTTTTCATTGCCGCGCAGAGATGCGAAAATACAATCGTGCAACTTCATATACATTCTAATGTACACGAACTCCATCTACATAACAACATACAGACTCACCGCGCGATGTACATAATCTACACCAGCAACACGGCACACTCAAGCCGCTGCCATTAAAAAGCAAAGAATGCGACGAATACGAATTAGCAGCGATACACCGTCAAATGATGGACCTCGTCTGATATCAAGTGGCGGTACCGTAGTTCGAGACCACCGATCGGCGCGGAGACGGCTTTAACGGGATCTGCTCGTCTAGGGCAATGGCGTCAAGATCTCCCTCCGCATTGACCATGGTGTCCTCCTCGCCCGCGTCGAACACAAAGTCCTCGCTCGCCCAGCGCACGAGCGCGCGCTCCCCGACACGTGAACGCAGCAGCCACGGATGCCGCTTCACGTACGACGACATGAACGCGCGCACGCGCGGCGGGGGGAAGTACAGCACGTACATGATCCCGAGGACCACGCCCCTACGCGGTGTGCGGCTGGTTCAGCACAGAAAGAGGGGAGCATCAAGGACTAGACATAACGTACGTGAAGGAGGCGAAGAGCGTCATGGACCGTCGTGAGCGACTCGCAAGGAGCTCGGGGTCGATCAGCTTGCGCGAGTCGCCGGGGACGTCGTCGTCTTCAGCGTCCTTTGGCGGCGCATCTCTCTCGGGATCGTCCGCTGGGTCGTCTTCTGGGTCGCTGGGCGGAGACTTCTCTATTGTCTTACCGCAAGCATGTTTGGTTCGCCACTCGAAAACGTGCGTACCGTTCCAGATATAGGATGCTGTGGGGGAGGTAGGCTGGCCAGGGTCAGCATATACAGTGCGCCGGCGGAGACCTCAATACCTCTTCCGCCTTGTGGTCGCAGATAAACTGAATGTCTGCTTTCTGCTGCTCGTTGACATAATATCCACCGTGCAGATGGACGTGGAGAATGTCTGCATATATGTAAGAAAAAATACTGGACCGAAGTGCGAGAACTCACCATGTTTGGTCTCTTTATTGGCTGGGACGAGTTTTGTGGTGATGTTTAGGCCAGGTTGGTATTCTTCAGCAGCAAATTCATCTCCCTTGGAATCATCCCCCTTGGATGGCAGAGACAACTTCCCAGCAACAGGTATGACTCGTAGTACTCGGGGTTCTTCATCATCGTGCTTGGGTCGGGTATTGGACACTTGTCTACAATCAGGATGATCACATTTACATTAAACTTCAAGCTCACTGATGTAACATATCCATGTACCCTCTGGGCACTGAAGAGGTAAATCAATTAGCTTTACTTTTCTAGATGACCGAAAGAAAAACAGAAGCAGGTCTAGACAGGGCACCGATCGTATGTCAGTGGTGTACATCTACCGCTGACATCTGCAGGGTCCAATCAATTCAATGACCTTGGTCCGCCATAACCCCGTCCTCCCTGCGCCAGTGTCCAGGCTAGGCCAAGAACCGAACCAAACCACCACGAGCGTACCTGTTCTTCACTCGGAATCTTCTTGCTGATTTTGAGCGCACCTGAAAGACTGACATGATACTGGGTCTTCGTGATCGTTGGCGGTGTCTTTCGCGAGCGCGAAATAGTCCAGCCGCCAGCATCGTCTTCGAAGATGGGACAGAGGTCAAAGCGCTGGTGACCCAGGGTGAACTGACACTGCTTCGCCAGGCTAGAGAGCGATTGTCCCATCGCAGCCGCGGCCGCAGCAGAGCAAAAGAGCGGGACGATGAGGACGAGTGCCGCGGCATGCATGGTGGCGAGTCGCTGTGAGTCCTCCAGGGAGAGGACACCTTCATTGCACTAGCGCAGCGTGCATTGATATGGTGGAGCCAAAATGAGCGTCACGGAGCGTCTGAGTAAAGATATCTCAAGCCCACGCCCGCGGACCGCCGTCTTCCCCACATCCCACGATTCGTGGCCCGTATTGGGTGCGTGCTGAATAGGTTTGTCGCCAAGAGCCCTCGAAACTTTAAGCAGCACATATGGATGGAGGAAGAAGCCAGGCATGAGAACAACTTGTTTGTGGGCAGAAATCCCTCGCGTAGTGGCTACTTTGTATGTGATCGGGGCGAGGATTAGTATGAACGCTTATCCGAACAATGCTATCAGCTAAAATTATTATCAAATTCCTCTTGTTCAGGGCGCGCTCGAGGCCTTGCTCTCCGTGACCATCATGATGTCGATGGTTCTGCGACTTGTGCTTGCAGTGGCTTCGACCCTCCAGTTCGACTATTACGCATGGAGCGTCTGAGTCGTTTCAACGTGCAGAAAAGGCTGCATCTTTCCCGTAATCCGGCGCGTACCATTGGCTCGGTGTATATGGCCTGGCCCGCGACACGTTCCTAAGACCGCCAGGCGAGTGTGAACCCGACATCGTTCTTCTTTCCTGAGCCACGGCAGCCGAGACGCCCTTAATCCTAGATACTAGCTAACGCGCTGCAGCCGGTAGGCATTTGTGTACAGAGGTCACGCTTGGGATGGCTTAGCTAAACTGTGTTCATGAGCCACTGCAAGTCCAATTCATCAACTCGCGCGTTGTATTGTGGGAGGTTAGTCCCCCTCTTAGAATTTGAATCAATTCTTTGGCATCGCTACGTGATTTGTTTCCTGCAGCAGGAAAGTTGAAAACGCCCAAGAAGTTGCTATCGGTTCCGACCCTTATTCGCAGGCTTATGCGGGGCGGCCTGTGTATCAGAAGCTCTTTCATGTACTCCTGACGACAATTCTACCACGTTGTACCAACAGTCTTTCCTGCACACAGGAAGACCATCTCATCGTGTATCAGCATTTGAATTTACGCGGAATTCAGCTGATAGGTTTATTTCTTTGAGAGTGTCTATCTTAATTCATGCGCTCGCGACTGCTGTGGGATCGTGCCGGGGCTGTATGAGGTTTCTTCAATTCTGTTTCTTCCCCTCGTTGACCCAAATAGGAAGTGGGTCAAAACTGACGCATTTCTCTCAGATACCTATGCGGCATGTGGACACCTTGGCATTCAAGACCATAGATCCGATAGCCACCTACTCAAGTAAGATACCAATCACCTGCTCTATTCTGTGTGAAATAAATGAATGTCCGTTACTGTGGTATGTCACTAGCAGTCGTTTCGCGGGCGCGATCATCCTCAAGCAGATACTCCATAATTCATTCTCAGCGGTCAACAGATCTGCCGCTGTCTCACCTGGGTAGCCTTGGTGGGAGGCGATGCTTAAGAACGCATCCGCGTTACAATGAGACTGCCGCCGTTCTTCGTACATTTGATGTTTATTCACAGGATTTGGATGATCAGCTCATGCTGCAGTTAGCCATGGCGTCTCGCCCCCAACCCACCAAGAATCGACGACACTAGTCGCTGATAACCAATCGAATGAACGCTGGCCGCGAGAGGAATATTCCAATGCAAGTGTTTTCCACAACCACTCCTTCTGTTTTCTGACATGTTTACCAAATCGAATGCTCAGAGATTCCGAATATCGGCTTGATTCCTGATGAGCGAAGCGGGTGATCTGACCTCCTGACGGTCGGTGGTCGTGAGCGCGATCCGTGCAAGTAAGATGACTCAGAGAACGTGATGTCCGTTGTGTATTTACTCTCAAGCGATCATTCGAATGCCCATTCTGGACAGCCTTCGGGTGCGCGCACAGCACCTCCGTTCTCACCAATGATGTCCCCCACATCTTTACCTTGCAGATTTATTACGTTCAATAGAATATCAGAACGCTGCTTGTCGACAATTGGATGACTTCCAGGCATCGCGGCGTCTCTGCATGTTCAACACAGTTTTCCGCCCTTCCCTCAATTGAATTTGATGTCTCGGTGACGTAGTATTTGCTAGGTGCCAAAATCATAATGCTGACAGTGCCCTCCTCATGTCAGGTGCATCATTGTCTATTGGAGCAATCATATGATTACGTTGTACGGTATCAGAGATGTGGTGCAGTTTTCCCTCTTCGAAACCAATCCCCACATGCGAATTGTAGCTACTCAAGAGTGATAGGTGGAATCAGCAGTCTGGAACCTCGGCCGAATCCTGTGGCCTGCATGATAAACCGAGTGCCTTAAGATTACTGTGGTCTCGTCAACCCTAGATATCTCCATGTATGTACGCTTGAAATGTCCGGTATCTCTTTAAACCAACGCTGGAAGTCTTGACGGTTGCACACATCCAGTCCTCCGAATGCGTTCAAGCAGTGATTTTATGGCACCGAATCGACATAGGTTTTCCAATGTACGTGACGGAGGACAGGTTGAAGGCAGCTACTTTAATGATACATTCATGCCGCTCAAATTTCTCCAAGCGATATCATAAAGAGTTGACGTTGCGAGCCTCCTTCCTACCCTCTAAGATGGGACAACGAAATACATATTGATAAAGCTACACTTTGATCCAACCTGTTACGCAGAATAGTGTCTAATCACCCAATCCCAGTCATCCTCTCCTAAATCATCTACGGAACGGAAGGCAGACTTCCGTTCTGACCAGGGCCCCAATACCTCCACATCATTATCCGATCTTTCTATGGGGTGCATTTTACCATTATAGTTTATCAACTTGAGGCGGCCGCTGCCGCTCTGCACCAACTCCTGCACCGTGAGCTCAGTAGCACAAGCGAAGATAAGAGATGTGAACTGTAACTGAGTAAACAGCGCCCACTGCACTGCCATCGTCAGTGTGGCTACTTGCGAAACAAGAGCAACACTCACAAGACTGAGGACAGACTCCTTGTTTACCGTAGTGGTTTCTGATCCCAAGCGCAGTCGCAAGGCAGTGAGGGTGGCGCAAAACCGAGGATCGAACGTCTGCACGTCGTCCTGTGTAATCTCCGGAAAGTGAAGACTGAGTCCAAGTATTCGCAGCGCTTTCATCGTTGGCAGTGCTCTGAGCAGGGGAACCAGGATTTCCCGAGTCGAATAGAGCTTACAGTCGAATCGGCGCATTTTCGGCTTGGCTTGCAAGAATTCAATTAGGCTTGAAATATCACAGGCAGCGGGCATCCAGGTGTCTCCGTCGTCTTGGACCAACTTGAAAGACGTGAGACATGGAAACGAGGACTTATTCGATGCTAGCATGGTGATAAAGTGACTTATGCAGTTAGGTCTAGGGAAAAGCATAAGGGACTGTAACTGGGGACAGTGCTGGAGGAGTGGCTCCAGATTCTCAGCGACTGCGTCGTAAAGCTCCAGATGAGTGAGATGCGAAAGGTTTTTCACGGGCGCGGCGTGGAATACGCGGCCGTTGATCTCCATCTCCTTCAATGCCCCGCAGTTGGTCTCGATCACTCTGCGAATCTCCTCGACGTCGTCGTCGAGGTAATGTTCGTCTTCTTCTTCGCACCACGTCGAAAGAATAATGGAAGTAAGGCGGATTAACCTGTGCAGAGGAAGTGAGGCGCGCATAGGGATACTTGTTTGAATTAGATGAATGTTGCTCTCTGAATTTGAAACAGGTACTCACGGTATTGAAACCTGCTCCAACCAAGGACAAGATGTTGCGAGGGTATCTACAACATCCGATGAAAGCCGTGGACACAAGCCAAGCCAAGTAAAGGACGTAAGATTGTGAAGACGTCGTAGGGCCTCAATCAAGTTCACTAAGACAGGCCTAAAATTGATAAACTGCCGCCTTTGAATGGAAGAATACGAGGGCAGACGTACGACGTTCAAACACGCCTCTGCCCATTGTGAAGGCATGCACCACGACCTTCTTGATGACAACGGCAAATGATCCATCGAGTGCAATGCGCCGTAGGATCTCGAAGCTCATGATAGACCGAGTGTCCCCGACTTCTTCCGCGTCATTTGAGACGTTGTAATCTTCCCAAGCACCGAAAAAGATGTGAACGGTGGAGAAGAGACAGCGCACGGCATGATCGTGGAAGGCCCTCGAGACGAACAAACATGTACGCCTCCCGTCGATAGGTAGATGCCCAACCACTCTCTCCCATAGCTCCTGTGGCAGCCAGACATCACCAGGTGTCGTATGCAGGCTCATAACGTGCAAGCTTCGTTCGATTTCAGACATGTCTGCTGGGAGCTGCTGAATGTAGGGGTGGATGTTGAACGTTGAGGGTATGGGTGGGTCGAGGGGAGACAGCGATGCGCGCGCCACTGAGTCTGTGCCATTGTGTGGATAGGGATTTTGTTAGATCAAACCACGTCTCTAGCAAAAGTTGTGGAAGCGATGTCCCTGATATTGAGGTTATGAACGGGCTCGCACCAACAAGGCGACTTGGACAAAGGCATGCGCCGAGAGTGCGCCGCGAGTGTGAAATGGGCAGCGATGGTTTTGATGATTGAACAAAGCTACAGCCGTTATTTGCTCTCAATAATGGGATCCATAGTGAGCCTACACACTAGTCTAGATCTACGCTGAATATATCTATACATCAATGCCACAAATCAAAATCGCTTGGGTCGACTGCCATTTCCTGTCCAATCGCTAAAATACATGTTTCTACACATCTATTCAATATTCAGTGGTCATGTCGTGTCACACCTCGAGCAAATCTGCGGCAAACCTATCCAACATATACACCTCGAACTTCTTGCTGTACGGTCCCTCACCAAACTCCCTCAGCCAAGCTCGACTGAGACCTCCCTCCCATGCATACAACTCCACACTCCACCCCTTCTTGAGCGCTGTCCTCACGCAGCCGAGGAACCCTTCCTCGTTGAACTGTCCCACGTTACCGTCGCCCGTGGCAAGCACTATAGTCGCTCCGGGCGGAACTTCATCTACACCCGCAATCGCTTGATGAAGCTTTAGTTGTAGCAGCTCGTCCACTCCTTGTTCACGATACCGGACTCGTGATGCACCGCCGCCCCCGTTCACGCCGATCCCGACGCCGGTTCCAGTGTCCGACTCTGTCGACGTTCCACCCCCTAACGAGTTCTTGTGGGAATGCCCTCGTACGTGCTGCGCTGCACCCTTGCGGTCACGACCACGGGAAGTAGTGTGTGGGCCGCCGTTGTTGTTGCTGTGGGTATAATGTTGTCGATCCGCGCCGTCGCCTGTATCTGGTACCCGTGCGTAAACCCGCACTTCGTATCCGATTTGCTCAGCAGTGTTGACGGGCTGGTATAAAGGCGATGATGCGACGAGGACGCGACGAGTAATGGGGCGCCCGCGCTCGAGAATGAGAGCAAGAGCCGCGTGTGAGATATGTTTGCTTCTGCTGCGATTCATATGATGTAAATGGCGGCGAAGGTATGTCAAAAATCCGATGAGGATGTTCGAACTGCAGAGCGGTCAGGACCTGAATGCGTCAAATGACCACAACTTACTGGTCAACAAATACATGAATGAGCGTGTCCTGTGAGCGCGGCTCAGGACCTCGCGTATCGACGAAATCTGCATAGGCAGATTCCGTGGAGAGGATAGCGTTCAGGGAGATTGCGTCTTGAGGGAAAAACAGCCGCAGCTTGTGCGCAAGGTTGCGTAAGTGAAGTACACGGGCATCAAGGGGCAGAGATACTGGTGGAATTAAGTTGGGAGTGGATTTACTGTGCTGAAGGCGCACCCTATCCACACTGATAGGCGAGCGATATCTTCGTCTCTCTTGATCGTTCCGTGCCGGTATGACTGTTTTCGACCGAACACGGGGAGACGAAGATGGAACATCGACAGAGGAAGATGAGTCGTAAGCATCGTCCACATCACCATCGTCTTCGTCGGCTGCGGTTGCATCTCCTGTTGCAGTTTCTGTGAGCGATTCTGGGTCCCGCTCCAGCATGCGAACACGAGAAACTTCTTGTGCCGACCGGTTCTTCTTCCTACGTCGCTTTCGACGAGGTTGAATGGCATGACGCCACACGCTGTCCGACGTCGTGGTAGTACTGGAACTATTATGGCCCCTCAAACCCATGTCACGCTGAGCGACAAACTTCGCACGTTCAGCGGCTATGAATCCTAAGGCTTCATCAAGGTATCCCAACGAGGGCTGGCCCACAGTGCCGACGCTACCATCAATAGCTCCAGTCAGATGCGTCCTGTCGAGGTCTGATGCGGTGGAGTCGGTATCAGAAGTACGGGGTGAACGGCCTCGGGAGACACCGCCAGGGGTGTAGTAAGAGAGATACGACGCCACGGGACGACGAGACCAGACAGTAGATTCTGGTGCCGGTTCTGAGTCGTTATCGGAAGGCGTGAAAACCAGAGATGACGCTGATGTCGCACTATGGTTCTCTACATGTCCAGGCCCAGGCCCTGTCCGGGGCTGGAAATTGTTGAGGGCACGAAAAACAGTCGTGAAAGCACCTAAGTCGGGCGCATCTGTATGAAAAGTCAGATACGATAGGGAACGGTGGCTAATATGAGGACTCGCCGTCGGATGTTACACCGCTTGCAACGGAGTAAGTCGAGAAAGGACTGAGGGGCGTTGGGGAGAACGTGGAATCTGATACAGAGTGAGTCATTATATTACAGCGTTCAATAAATTGATAGGAAAGGATAGTAATAAGACGTCGTTAAGCAGTCGTACATGAGGGAGGCAGCGGAAGAGAGTTAAGCGTCGAGGGAGATGTTACCATATACGGGTCGTCCACAGCTCGGACTTGAGCTGCTTTGTTTTATTAAGTTGTCGTCACATCCCTCTCTCTATCTACGACCGCGGGCTCCTTTCTGTGCAATGCAGAGGCATAAAGCAAAACCCAGCATAAAACTGCGAACAGCAGCTTTCCATTGCTACAACTTGATTTCTAGGCGAGTGACAAGAGGCGTTAGTGGTCAAGCTCAAGGCGCTCGTCCAAAGAATCAAACTGTCTCATTATCTCAACCTTTCAAACTCTCAAGTTTACGACGCCTGGTAGAACACCTCACGACTAACCGCTCTTCTACACCTATGAGTCCCATGCTAGATATATCTCGGACCAGTCAACTACCACCCGAGTTATGGGAAGATATTATCAAGTACTCCACTCCATCCTCGCTGCGTGCTTGTCTATCTGTGTCCAGGCTCTTTCACGATCTCGCTGTGCGATTTCTGTTTTCTACGATCCACATCCAGTTCGGGGCACTATCTCCCCATGGCCTATCCCCCGAGGAACACGAAAGACGAGTGGCCAGGAATTGCTCCATCGGATCTGATATCTTATGCTATATCGCAAGCAAACCCTCTTTTGCTGTGGTCGTGAAAAAAATCGTAGTGCATTCCTACATGGTGGGCCCATATGTCTTTGATCGACGTACGTCCCACTGAATCACACTACTTGGAGTGGCGTAATTGAACAACCTTGTTGCTATACCTCAGAACTCTTGATTGATGCCGTATCAAAGTTAAGCAATCTCTCGTGTTTTGTCTGGTACGGTGTGGCATCGAGCGTATCTGCCACTCTTGTCAATTTGCTAGTGACATCGTGCCCCTGGCTGCAACGCCTGACACTATCGTAGGTGCTAAATCGTCCCGATCTCGATCCAGCTAATGGAGACATCAGGATCCCTCTAGCCTCGTCTCTTCCGCTTCGACGAATCCAAAATCTCCGGTCTTTGTCTTTGGAGTGGTGGGCTGACGAGCTCGAGCATGAGGATCCCGAATTGGAGCTTACGGAAGTGCGCGACATGATCGAGGCAAACACAGACACGCTGCAAGAATTGGAGATTTGTGCTCCACACTGTCGGTCGTTTCCTCTACGCACCCTCCGAAATCTGGTATACTTGCATCTCATTGATGCTCCGCTAGATAACATCGAGACTGTGTTTCGTTATGGCGACCAGCTCGAAGCCCTCTCGATCGTACCGGATGTTCACTGTGTCCAGGAGCTCTTCTCGGTGATCGCCTCACATCCAAAACGCCTTCCGCGGCTATCCTCCTTCAAGCTGATTCAGTCGGACGACGACGAATGGCGTCCCGATGTATCCGACATGGCTGCACTGGCTGAATTCTTTCGGACGAAAAATATGCGTAGACTGGACTGTAAGCTATGTGTGGACTGCACGACATCCCTACCTTTTCTGCAAATGCTGCAAAATCTCAAGAACCTGCAAGTGCTCGGTATTGGTCTGATTTCTCCGACATTTGTCCAGAACGACTCTCTCTCCTTTACCAACTACATTCCCAAGAATATCTCTGCACTGCGCCTCCGCCTGGGATACGACGGGACGATCATTGGACGAGACGTCATTCTTCATCTAGTTAAGTCGAGCCATCTTGTATCATCCATATGAGTATTGACACTCCCAGTACACAGTGGGACCACTTTGAAGGCCTCCGTTATGCGCATATCGTCGTCTCAACTGTCCCAGATATTACCCTTGCTATGTTGATCTCTTCCAATAGCAAGCAGGACCTGGAGCTGATTGCCTACAACGGGCGCGTCTTCCCTTTGGAACGAACAATCGACAATGTATGTGTAGGCAAGTCGTGGAGTGAATGCAAGACTACCACTCGCGCGGTGGAGGACTTTGGTAATGAGGATTGGGAGTGGTTGTCCAGGCATTACATGGTATATTGGTAATTCGCCGACCAGCTTCAGCCACGTATGGTGGGCGTTGAGCTTGTCAGTGTCGTATCAAGTGGCCCGAGAGAAACGAAGCCTCAGGTAAATTATGCGATATCTTGGTGTATGAGTATATATCATGTATGAACGGTTCCGACCTACGTCTGGATGCGGAATTAAATATTATATGTAGATGGACAGATAGGATGAGTCTACCAATAAATGTGCTGAGAACTGAACAATGCAGTGTGCGTGTATACCGATGATGTTGCGATACAGATCTGCGCCAGAGCATCAGGAAATATACAATGCAAATATGTAACCCAATAATAGTGACCGTCGTGAAAAAAAAACTGTGGGCACGAGCGCCAAACGCAGAACAACCGTTCAAGGGTTTGGGTTGTCCGCATCGCCCATATACACGAGAGTGTGTACTTGAATGAATCCACGCCAGATTTGTCTCGGGGTATCAGAGAGTTTCATTCAGCGCCATTTGCATGCTGAGGAATCCGCGGCGCATCCACTCGTCTGGAGAAACACGTTCAGCGTCCTTAGAACCAATCATCTGGTCGTTGAATTGTGAGAAGGCCCAGACAGACGGATCAGGGACAGGCACAGCTGTTAGCGCACGGAGTTCGTTGCGGATAATGTTGTGCGTGAAGTGGTCCATGTTCTGTGTGAGAATGAGTTATGGAAAAACAGCGTAGAATGGAACCAAGCCATCCGCACCAGATCGTTTTTGTCATAGCCTCGAGAATGTAGAGTGAGAAGTTTGCTACGAAGCGGCCATTGAGACATTGATACTTACCGAAGGGATCTGGTAAAAAGGCATGATCAATTTAGAACGGATGTTCAACCTCAAGGCACCAGCTCACTTTCGATTTCCTCGCCCGCAACCAAGAAACCGAAGAATATAAAACTCTATCAAGAAACTCAATGAGAATGGTCATAGACGAATAGGTTAAAGAGTACAGACCAAAAGGGCTGTAGCCGGTATTGTAAGCCATCCTAGATACAGCCAAATCTGGAAGGGCTAAAAGTACTGTGTCAGCGAAAGCCTGGTGATCACAGAGAACGGATGCCATACCAAAAGCAAATTGTAGAGGACTGTCACAGTCCACAAGTGCACGCGATACCTATAATATGCTAAATATCACATCTACAGATGGAGGTCATTCTGATACTCACGAGAAGGGTATTGGAGTCGTGAGGATTCGCTCTAACCCCGTGAGGGCATCTACAAGCAGGCCCAAAGAGTTGATGAGGGCGGCTATAACGACATAGTTGGTTTCTGGTCATGACAAGAGTTATAGAAATCACTCGCTGGCTGTGGGAGCGTCAAGGGTCTTCCGGTTCTGTAGTGCCGCGATGTATGAGCTCTACCGAAGGGCGCCCTCAGCCATTATGATAAGAGGAGACACTGAAAATAGTACTATTCACAAGGTAGAAAGAAATCTCCAGGGGCAAGTTGTGCGACACGGTTTTGCTCCTGAGCTTCGCGCGAATGCGAGCTGCTGTCTTACCCTTTATCACGGGAGCATTGCCATTCATCAGCCATCGTCTCAGCCTGAAGATAGAAATCTACTGACCTTCACATCCTTCCCACGCTTGGTGAGAAGTTTAACCACAAGCGAGAAGGGAAACAGGTCGAGCAGGTGATACTGCGGGGGGTTTCGTGCGGGCAGCAAAAATCCTTCATCGACTAGAACGTTCGTCGACGACTTCTCTTCCCTATCATCCTTCTCGTACTCCACCGACGGTTTCGGCAGCCTGTTCGCAAAGGTAGTCCTCCTTCCTGGAGACGTTGCAGGAACAGGCAGCTGCACTGAACGCGCGAACGAGGGCGACTTGGGTGATGTGGGCGACGTGATGCTCTGGAGCGAGCGGGCATCCGAAACTTTGCGCTCATGTCCGTTTGTTGCATCGTTCCCGTCCTGCGAGCCAGGCTGCATGCTTAAGATATCTGAGACGTCAAGTGCAGAGGGAATTCCGGGCGGGAGCGCATACGAAGGGAGGAACTTGACAAGATGATACAGATCGACATAGTATACGCCCTCCTCTCCGCGCAAGTAATGCTTGACAGCGACTGCAAAAGCCTCGACAAGGTTGATGGTCGTCTTTTTCTCGATGAGCACCCGCTGCTTACGCTGCTCTAGCGTGGATTTGTCGTCAGCAATTGCGGGTATTACATCTGTAATGGGTAGTGAGGGTGAGCGCTGGAGCGGGCTACAGAGTCGTCGGGATGCACACCTGGGACATGGAACCAGACCGTACGCGAAAATGTCCGGCTTGCGAGCACAATCTGCGACCATAACCTCCTACCCTCGTTATAGCGTTCGAAACTGGATGTCGTCCGGTACGACACGACGAAACCAAGTACGGTACCGATGCTACGCGCATATATCAAAGCTGCGTAAGTAGAATGGCGGATGAATAGTGCATCACTCACACCGTTAGAAGAGTGCTTTCGATACCCAAATTGTGTGTGGTGTGACTTATAACGCAGATAGCTGTCGCCCAGGCAGAAAAGAATACGAGTAGCGGCCAGCACCTAACCAGTGCAGTCGCAGAGAGCGCGTTAAAAAGCTGGGTCCAGAATCCCCCGCGCGAGTGAGAGAATGGGTCGACCGCATGCATCATTGAGGTCTCCATATTGAACGTGTAGAGTCGAGGAGCAAAGAAATATGGAGAGAAATGAATCGACGGAAGAAAGAAAAGAAGGAAACGAGAGAAATTTGATCATCAGGGCACTTTTGCAAGATGTAGTCTTGATGCGATTGCAGTGTTCTGCCGGAAGGCTCGAATCTCGGCGTCGCAGTGGGCCTTGGCCATGATAGGCCATGCATGGTTACGAACACGGCGAGCGCACCCCAGCTATGCATGCCAAGCTAAGCCAAGCCAGCTCATATCAGCAACAGTGATTGGTCTAAGGCACGGATACGATGATGCAAACGGCAAAACTCAAAGGTAAAATGCGGGCCCCAAAGTCCGTAGATACTAACCTATACTAGCTGTCTCCACAATGTCGCATTTATAAATCAACCAATGTCTGCAGACGGGAAAATATAAGCTTCGCAAACTTCGTCAGAACTGCGCGAGAATAATTGCAGTGTCAAGATGCGAAATTTCCGCAGTAGATTTGACCAGGATTTGACCAACAGTCCTGAAAGATGAGGCCCATGCCCTTGTTGGGGTTTCAGATCCTCCACTTGGGCTTGGCGTAGAGTACTAGTATGATTACCGTATATGGTAGCCTGGCGCAGCTAGCATCATGAACAATAAGCTTACGCATAATGATACGTATAAAATCTTGACCAGGAATTCACTAATGCTCGTGAGCTGCGTCCCGAAAATAGAGGTAGATTTTTTCTGACGAAGATTTTGAACTATGTTCCTGTTCTTACGGAACCAAGACCCCTCGGAGGCGCGGATCCAAGACGTGCTTCATCACAAACACCCCGTCCCGGATATGCGGAGGACACGTATGAAAGGACGGGGTAGAAACGGGTAAGGTAAGTAAAGTTGAGCAAAGTTAGCATAATTTGCGCCTGGACTCTCCGCCAAAATACGTAACATCGGGACTCCGCGTTGATACTGAGACCCGAGGTGCCCATGAAAGTATTTTGAGCCAGGCGAACAAATGTCAGTACGAATGTCTCCGCAGAGGGGGGAGTTAGACTTTACTGTGTGCCCTTGCACACCTAACAAGAACGTAAATAATTTCAGCCGTGGACAGTAGCGGAGCTTGAGCTGGACAAGAGTTGATCGGCTACCGGGACTGAGATCTCCACACGGCCCACGACACACGAAGTGAATACTCCAAATTGACAAATCTCAAAAACATACAGCGAAATATCACAACGTAGAGCTGTTGGAAGCATTTCAGCAAACGCAGTAACAGCGCTGCTAGCCGGAAGATCAGATCACACTTACGTGCGTCTTGTGTTAATGCACCGTCACCTGCCGACATTGCAGAAACAAAAAAAAATAGAATAAAATCTGAAAGTCGCTGAAGAGTCGATCCAGGGAGACAAACGAGTAGTGAGAAGAGCTCACGCGACGCGGTCATCCTTCCATAATTGGAGCTCCTAAATCAGAGGTGAAGTCAACAAACAAGTCACTACTCGCCGTGGCACGGCTGTCTTACATCACCCATGGGATGATGGTGCTCTCGAAGATTTCCCTCTTGTCCTCACACCAGCTACGAAGTTGCGTGCACTTGTGCTACATGTCTCTTTCTTTCCTCTTCCATGGCTCACTGCCTTCCTATCTCATGCGTCTTTCCTGAAGCTCCATGAGATTCAAATTGTTCAGAATTTTGATCCCCTTCTCGAGTCGATGAGGAGCCGCTAATGGCTGCATTTGGTGTTGTTGATGATAAAGAATACGTACAAGTCGATGGTCTTCTGTCAGGATCCCGGTATGTTGCTCTTACGAGGATCACTTTCAGACTCGACGCCAGTGTCGGTCGTGAGGATGTGGCGAAAGTACCATCTGAAGATATGTAGCAACGAGGCTTTCCTACCAGGCTCCCATAATTACATGCATGCAGCCGTCTCAAGTCAGTGAGCTGGATCTGAACTTATCTCCCCAAGGTGACCTCAAGTGATATGTATCGAGTCGAGCAGGTGTCCCAAATGCCGCTGGCAACCAGAGACCGTCCAACATTACCTGCATGAATGCTCAGTGCTCCGAGTGCAGCGAGCTATGCTACGTGGGGCGGAGCGCGAGTTCTATCCACATCATGTTATCCCACCCGGCAGTGACGGAACCACTCATGCGTTATATTCAGGCCACTGGACGCTTTGAAAACATTTTCGGCGATCTCACGCGACGAGCACGACCTGCCTCCCCTCCTCGGGCTTCCTGACGGTACCGGCCGCTTTCTCCCGTTTTTCGCTTAATTTTCCTGCTTTCTCTCTTTACATGGGCTGAGTGTGCGTGGAGGACCCAGGGGTGCGGAGAGTTTTGACGGACAGTGGAGGACCACTGGCTGGCTTCCCCCAGCTGTGACACCGTCGTAGGAGCTGCCAAGCACTTCAGCGGGGGGTTCAGAACTGCATCCCTTGCCTTTAATGGCCAGGGTTCGACTCTGCGGGTCCGCCGCGCCAGCAGCGGTACAATACCATAGCCATCCGGTCTCTATTTGTGTCTATACTCCTACTGATTTCTCGGCCACTCTGCGTATCACAGTTTTCGCTCAGACGCGCACCCTGCTGCCCAGGCCATGTCCGATGTTTCTGCTTCGATATCGTACGAACAGGAGTAGCACATGTACTGTACATTATATCTACATAGGGCCAGGCCCTCGCGGACAATAAATGGGAACTGAAAAAAAGTGATATGTATACTGATTTAGATTTAGAACGCTCGTGATTATCGGTGTCTATGACGTGTTGCAATAAGATGGATTGTTCGAGGGGATCTTGTGTAAGGAATGGTTGTTGCTAAGTCAAAACATCGACACTATTGATACCATCAGAACTGCAGTATTTTCCATTACGCTCGCTCCACATGCACTTTTAAGATACAAA